GAAATATGTAAATAATAAAAGGAAGGAAGATGCAGAAAAAAAAGAAAAAATAAGATTAGAAGAGGAAAACAAAGTAACATCGTTTGAGCATTTTACAGCGGAAGTGGTGGGAAAGTTAAAGGGTTGTGGAATTTATGACTGGTCTGTGTTTATGAATGACAATATTTGTTTAGTTTATAAGTTACAAGCGAATGACATACCTAAAGTTACCAGTAGTATTAGGATTAACAATAATCTGGATGTTGAAGTCCACATAAATGGCAGCATCATCCAAAATAACCTAGTCAGTATAAATGCTGATGTACCAATTTTGAGGACATCTCATTTATATCAATGGAGTCAATTGATACAAGTTATTCAATTTTGTACAGACTACAGCCAAGGTATGAATAGAGATGATAAAAGAATACTCATAGCTCAAATAACAGATCTTTTGACAAGGTTGAAAGTGGAAATAGAAAACAGTTCTGACGATAGTGCGGATGTGATTTCAAAGAAGCTAACTTTTCTTATAGATCAATTTTCACTTATTTTCCTTAACAAACCACGGTACTCTGTAGCCACAATATTAAATTCTTTTCTTATTTACATGCAGTCTGTCAAATGTTATAATGCAATTAGGTTCAATCATATAATGACTCTTCCTCATCCAAGGTTTTTGCAAAAATTATCATCATCATTTCAGATATCCCCTAATCAAAGTAAAGGAAATGAAAACTTTTTAAAGAGCCTATCCAAAAACTTTTCAAACTTAGAAAAAATTGTAAGTTTGCAAATAGACGAAATTCATGTAAAACAAAGTTTGGATTTCAAAAATGGAAATTTTTACGGTTTTGCTCAAAATGATGGGGATAATTTAGCTAAAACTATTGTTGCTTTTTTAGTAAACTCAGTTTTTGGAAGTATGAAGGAAGTGATAAAGCTAATACCTGTTAAACAGTTAAAGGGTTCCGAATTAGCAGAAATGACCAAGCAAGCAATACATATGATTCAAGACAGTGGTCTGACGGTTTTAAGTATAGTCAGTGATAACAATGGTGTTAATCGTGTAATGTTTAATGAACTAACTAAAAATTCTGCAAGTCAACATTATTTTCAAGTACCGGGAAGTCCTTACAAAACATTTGTATTGTATGATAGTGTTCACATTCTCAAAAACATCAGAAATAATTGGTTGAACCAAAAAGATCTACACAAAACATTTGTATTTCCAGTATGGCCAAATGATGATTTAATTGATTGTAATGATGTACCAAGGACTAATTTCAGTAATTTCGAAGAATTTACAGAAGCACAATTCAAAGATGTAAGGGATATATATAGAATGGAATGCAATTCTCTCGTTAGGTCTGCACCCAAGCTTTCGTTCAAGACTGTTTACCCAAACTCCCTAGAACGCCAAAAGGTTTCCTTGGCTGTAAATGTTTTCCACGAATCCACACTTGCTTCCTTAAATAAATATGGACTCAATGGAAGTGCAATGTTTGTTAAAATTATCTTGACATGGTGGACTATTGTTAATACTAAACGGCCTTTGACACACGTATTGAAACGAAATAAGCTCCAAAAGCCATTTGATTCCGAAGATGATGATAGGTTAGTTTTTTTTGAAAGATTTGTTGATTGGCTAGTCAAATGGAAGGAAAACTCTTTAAAGAACTCATCCGCTGGCTGTTTGACTGATGAAACGTATAACGCCATTTTTCAGACCACCAATGTGTATAGGGAATTAATAATTTACGCACTAAGTTTTTTAAAACCTAAGTACATTCTTCTTGGAAAATTCCAGACAGACAATTTAGAATCAAGATTTGGACAGTATCGACAATTAGCAGGTGGAAATTACAATATTTCAACAATTCAAGTAATGGAAGCAGAAAAAAAAATTAGAATCAAAAGTGTCTTAGGTATTCATTCGGCTAGGTATGGCCCTGTGACGTTTTCACCAGAAATGCTCAATGAACATGATGAAACCGAACTTGAGTGTAGACCTAATCGGCAGCAAGTTCTACCAAACCCTAATTTTGAACTTGAAAATTCATTTTACGAGATTCTAGAATTAGATTTTAATGAATATGATAAAGTTGATGAATCTGTCATCATCTACATCGGCGGGTACATCGTCCACAAAATTGTTTCAAAAATCAAATGCGAAGAATGTTCAGAGTTATTGAATTCTAGAAATTGCAATGATGATTATTTCTTTGACATAAACAGAGGAGGTCTTAGTGTACCCTCAGAAATAGTAATGGTGATTTGTAGACAGGTAATAGGGGTTGTGCAAAGCCTTATATCAGAAAAGTTTGAAAGCTCCTTTTTAATTAATAATGAAAATCAACGGAACATAGTTACAGAACTTAGCATTCTAAGAATTGAATCAGATGCTGAACTTGGTGAGCTTCTTGAAAAAGTATGTTCTTGTGGCATTTCGTATAGCTCATTGATTAGAAAAATTATCGTCACTATGAGCAACATTTTACTTAACAACTATTCAAAAATAAGAAATGAAAAGGTTGTGTCACATGCAAATAAAAGAAAGATTGCAATACTGACTAAGTAAAAAAAAAAAAAACTATGAATAATTGGTTTTCATCTCTGAAAAATTAAAGTATTTATGTACGGTACATAAAATCATAGCCTAACTACAAAGTTAAAATACATTTATGATTTTTAAATGAAAAGCTTTTTTAAGTATAGGCCTACAGCTTTTGCAAGTTATTAATATTGTTATTTTGAAAACAGATTTTACTATAATAAGCTTTGTCTATTCGACACAGTAACAAAAAAAAATTAAAATTTATAATATAAATAATATGTAACTCCTGGAAAACCGCTAAGGCAATGTCATCTCACAAGGTGGAGGTGATAAAAGGCTACGTGCCCAACTGTTCTTTACGAAAGACAGTTACGTGAACTGTCTTTTTCAAGACAGTTCTGTAGAAGGGTTTACTCCATACCACAGTCCTTGTTTGTGTGACCAAGGCTGTGGGAACCTCTTTCCCTTCAGTGGTTCTCATTACATTACACTTCACTTAAGAGTAATTTGCATCATACACAAATTTTAAATGAACAAATCTGTAAAATATACAAACTTACCTTATCCAATTACATTTTTTTTTAACTTTCTTTTCTTCAATATAAAATTTGTTTCTACCTTTAAAAAATTACTTAATGGTTTTAAATAACAAATTAATAAGTTCACTGCAACAATTTTTTAGGCATTGCTAAGAATGTAAAAGAATTGGCTAGGGAAAGGGTCATATAACAAAGAAATATCAAAGCTAATTCACTAAATTCATATAAGTTTAAATAACATTGAATTTATTCTGTGGGTATTAATTATTAATTCATTATTTTCATAATTTAAATTATAACATTAATCTCTGAATAACAAAGTTCATTGAGAACCACTGTCTTAAAAAATTGAGTGACCTCCAAGATGGTGGAGAGGTTGACGTTCCTTTGGAGGCTTTTTTACTAACATCCACTAGTCACACATCATTCCTACAAGTTATTTATGTACAAAATAGTAAAAATTATTACTTGTAACAAAATCAAAAAAACAAATAGAAACTCAACTTTATTTTTGCCAATTTAGATTTAATTTTTTTTCCATTGTGATGGAATTTCATGTAAACTTACATTTATTCAGGAAAACCATGACTGATATAAAAAAAAGTCTTATAAATGTTGCAGCTTAATCGTTTATGGGTCTATTTTTTATTTATATTAAACATGTTACTAAATTGAATTTTCTTGTAGCAGCAAGTTAGGTACTTGTTAAACCTATTATTTAAATAAATTTAATTTAAAATCAATTCAGGCAAATGGAAATTCGCTTAGACGGCAGGTTTGCTGCGGCGGGGGTATTTTTATATATATCTAGTTCTTGGCTCAAGTAATTAACACTTTATGAAACAAAAGATATAGCTTAGAAGTATTGAAAAGCCTTTTATAAAAATATTCCATACTTTTTAGGTTGAAGTGTTTATAATCTATAAGTATAAAAGAGGATGTTTGTATATATATATATTTGTTTGTTTGGCAGTGATAAACTCAGACACCGCTGAACCGATTGCCACGAAACTTGGTACATACGTGTAGAATGTCATGGAATAGGTTTATACACCATCAATTTCGTGATCCGTCCAATCGGCTCCGCCCCAGTGGCTCTGGAGTTTCCCATGTTAACCTTATGAGAAATGGAATTAATGAATCTTAACAGCTGTTTCAATTAAACAAGTTGGTTCTGTTCTTGATGTTCAATAGCATTAAAGTTACAAGGATTACCAACAGGGTGCAGCACTATTATTTCTTCTACATTTATGACAACGGCTAATTTGCAACCAAAAGGTGAGTGAGCATAGCGAACGAACTTCAACCTGGAGGCGAGTTAGCGTAGTGAACGAGCTAACCTGAAGGCAAGTGAGCGTAGCGAACGAGCAAACCCGAAGGCAAGTGAGCGCAGCGAACGAGCTCCAACCTAAAGGTGAGTGAGCGTAGCGAACGAGCTCTAACCTAAAAGTGAGCGAACGAACTTCAACCAGGACGTGATTGTATCCTATAAAGGCCATAAAGGTTAAATTTTGTTTTAAAAGGCTTATGTGTAACTATTTTATCAACAGATGTAAAGTTTAAAATGTTTCTATTTCGTGTTCTCTTCCCGTTGCAAAGCACGGGTACAACAGCTAGTATTGTATAAAAGTCCAAATAACTCCACAATCACATAAAATAATCTAGGTAACTGAATAGCTCCATTTTAATACATGGTTTATAAAATATACTTAGGTGATTTTCTGTTTTGTTTTGAAAACATGAAACTAAGGGTAAACAATATTACTAGCAAAAAGTTATCGTCAGTACAGTTTGAATTACACAAACTATTATTTGTTTTACTTGGTATTAAGTTTTAGTTCTGTTTGATCTATAAAATTTTATAGATCAAACAGAACGGTTCATAAATTTTAAAAATCTGAAAAATTTAGAGAAAAAACTAGAAGTTATTTGATAAACTCATTTTTATTTACATAAATTTCAAAAGTTAATCACTTTTACAAACTAAGAAACTTCTTTTAACAAAGGAATCTCATCAACTTGATCCATTCCAACGGCAGGTTTTATTATCTGAAATAAGAACAAAAAATATTTATAGAGCATTAATTAATAAACAATTACAGTACTAGAAATTATTGGATATAGGCCTATATAAAAGGCAAAGCCCTCACTGACTGACTGGCTCACTCACTCATCACTAATTCTCCCACTTCCCATTTAACTAGGAGGCTGAAATTCGGTACACCGATTCTTTGGGCATTAAATAGGAGAACTAAGTAGTTTTTATTCTGATCGAGCATTCGGGCTCCGCCCCAGTGGCTCTGGAGTTTGACATGTTAACCTTATGATTTTTCACATTTAAAAGGAATTTCTTAACAGCTGTTTCAATTAAACAAGTTGGTTCTGCTCTATGATGTTCAATAGCATTAAAGTTACAAGGATCACCAACAGGGTGCAGCACTATTATTTTTTTAAATTTATGACTACAGCCAATTTGCTACCCAAAGGTGAGTGAGCGTAGCAAACGAATTTCAACCTGGACGTGATTGAGCCATAGTTTATTGATCAGTGAAGCAACTGTTTTATGAAGAATTGTCTGTAGCTTCATTTAAATGGTTTCAACTAACAGCTGTAGGAATGTTATTATTATTTATTGCCTTCTCTGCACAAATGTAAACAATCTGCACAAATGTAAACAAAACAAATGTTGAATATTTAAGGTTTTCAGAATATTTCACCGAAACAAATATTATACTTAAACATAATATATAAGGTACCAAATAGAAATTCTCCTGGTTATTTTGGTGGTGGAACCACACTGATCGGTAAAAGAATCACAGAGAAATTGGTGAACATACATAGGAAAAAAAAAACATCGCCACAAACAAATTGAGAACCTCCTCCTTTGTTGGTAGTGGGGAAGTCGGTTAAGCTGGCCTGACCCATCGATATACAACACGTCTGACCTTGACTAACTGCGTATATTGAGCACTAGTGTAGTTGACAACAGTTCATAATGGCGTTTGCCGTGCATGTAATAAATAAGCAAATAAATAAAAATTCTTCGTTCTACTCGATATCAGTGGTTCAGGACACGAAATGTGGTTGCGGTGCTGTTTTTTTGCGTGTTACTAGCAATATTATTTTCGTGAATGATTTCGTTTTCAAATGAAGTATTTGTCTTTGAAAATTTGTACCGTACTGTATTCAATAACTTGATGTTAAGCATTTTAAGATCTAATAAATAGTATTAATGTATTGTACCGATGGACATACACATTTTTTAAGAAGATTTGTATGGAATTAGTTTTAGTCCAATTGAGGGGGGGGGGGGCGCCAAAATGGGCTTTTGCCCCGGGTGCTGAATAGCCTAGTTACGTCCCTGGATTTGTCCACAATATTTCTAAGGGGGTTTTAGGGGAGGGGGAATTTAACCTAAAACTGCCTAATATTGTAATCAAATCCATAGTTCCTGTGTCAATTTGTTATTGTTTGTCGGACACGATGGAACTGTGGATAGTTCCATCATGTCCGCCATACAAACTGTGTCGGTTAGTCCAGTATGTGAACGAAAGTGGCCGGCCAATAGCTTTTTAAATGTATATAAATGTGCTTGTATCTATGTGTAAATTTTAGCTTTATGTGTCGACGCGTATATATACATTTTGATGAAGACCTCTGTCGGATTATAGACTCTCGAGTTTGATGTGGATTTGATAATGGGTCTTTGACGCGAAGCTAGTCATCCCCAGACTATTTTTTAAGACTGAAAACGCGGGATAAGGTACGTAAGTTTTATACGGTTTATAGACTTGTTCTTTCTCTAAAAAATCCCAGAGAATAAAAAAATAGGGAGTTGAAGGAATTTCATAGAGAACTAGATAGGTACCTATTGTGGGTGTGGCAAGTAGAAGGTTGAGATAGCTGGGCCACATTCAAAAGACAGGTGAGAGAGAGATAGTAAAGCATGTGATAGGAGGTACTATGGAGGATAGGAGACCATTGGGAAGACCAAGGATGCAATGGATTAATAAGGTTACAAAAGTCCTAAGGAGAATGGGAGCAAACCTAGAGCTGGCAGAAGATGGACGATCCTAGAAGCACATGGTTGGCGAGGCCAAAGACCGCCTAGGGTTTAAATGGCCACAGGAGTGCGTAAGTAAGTAACAGTAGATAATATAACGGCTGTGATCTCGGGTGATATTCATGATGACATTATAATAAATTATAAATCCACACTAAGCCAAATTTATTTCTACTGAAGCTAATGGTTACTCATTTGTCTCAGGTAGGCTAATCTGTTAGATACTAGAGAACCCGCGCGGCTCAATGAGCCGCATAGTATGAAACATAACGCCAAGGAAAACGTTATGCTTAAATTTGAATAAATAGTTACATCGTAGAGTTGTTTAAACACTTGTTAGAAAACTAATTTTAAATATCTCTATTTGTTTCGTCAAGGTTCACCTACATTATTTCTGCTATCAGTCTTAACTGATAACTTCTAATGAATGCTAAACGATCTGTTTCAATTCGAGCTAACCTTTGCAACAAAGTTTTTCCAGCATTGAGAATTTAAGGAAACTGTTGCCTAGACATCCCCCTAATGGCCCTAATCAAACGAATTTTCTCCCTAGAGAATCCTGAAAAGTGAAATGATATCAACCATTTAATGTGATCCATTTTTTACCCACAAACTCTGGGTTATCAACTGGAAAGCCATAATCTGCTTTGAATAGGCTAAAGCAGCAACACTATTGATAGTTTGTTAACGTATTTTAACGTGTTGTGTGTTAGTCACAGTATATGACCCGCACCAGTCATTGGGGTTTCTCACGTTGTTCATTGGGGTTTCTCTTAATAGGCTACCTGTCCCAAAGTTTTGAAAGTATGGATTCATTTGTCGAAATAGGTTGGATAACTCTTGTAGCTATAAGATTTGGATAGCAATTTTCATTTTCTCTTTTTGAACAGCGTATATATTATTTGCCTCTCCTGAATCATAAAAAAAACTTGACTGTAAGTACTCGATCGTTGAATACATAAACCCTAATTCCTTCACTTATGTCTAATATTGCCACTAAAATTCAGTCAAAAAAACTTTGTATAAGTTTTTCCGAAGAACTGGCAACATAAACTAGAAGTAAACAATCCATTTGTGTTTTTCCTCAATAAAGTAGATCGAGTAATACAAAAGTTTACAATAAAAACATAAGATTTGGTATAATCTTACTAATTAAACTTATCACAGTCAAGGCATTATTATTGTTTGTACAACATTTTTTGAGATCTGTCAGTGTCAGAAGTAAACATTTCTCGCGTGCATTCATTTGATCTGACATTAGGCAAATTTATTTCACCATCGTGACAACACTATGTGCGTTGTATATTTTTACACTTCCAATGTAAGTTGCATAGCAGAACTGGCAAATATTATTCATCTCACCAAGTGAATGTGTATATGGATGTGTATCTGTTAGAACAGGCCTCTCTTTCTCTACTCTCCTTATACGCATAAGATGCCTTATTGTCTCCTCCTTCGGTTTTCAATATTTCTTTTTTGAACTCCAGGCATTTTCCGTTCTTCCAACAAAACTGATTTGTTTAACTTGGTCTTAACCTACTGAATATTAAAATATCAATATTTACTCTCAAAAAAGCTAATGAGTTTCTTTTTATAAACAGCTGTTTTTTGTTTTTAAATTTGTTCTGTGTTCTTCTTATGGGGAAACCCCGACCTTTGAGAGGGTCTCGCGCCCTTAAGAGTAGACATCTTAACGTTCTAAAACCTTATTGCAAAACTACATATTGAGACGAATCTTTTGACACCTTAAACGTTGAAATTGGTCCACAAATAAGGGAGGAGTTGCGTTAACAAAATACGGCTTCACGCATTATATATATAGATAGATTATATATAAGTTAGGTAGGCTATATCATTTACTGTTATGTCTGTTGAGCTATTATGAATGTTTAGTCTGTGTTTAACATTAGACAACAATGTAGCAATGAGTTTAATAGATCACCACTAGTGATATGAGTAGCTATTATTAACTAATTAATTAGGCCTAAATAAAACCTTTTTTTTTAAATAAAAACCATTTTGAATTACACTTTTAATTAGCCTGCAAGCTGTAAATAATTAAAATGCAATTAAATTTGTTTTTATTAAAATGTTTAGTTTAATTGGTTAATAATAGTTACCCTTACCCAGATCAAACAACTGATTTTTCCGTTTCCAACAATTGTAAAAAACAAGTTTGCATCTTTATTACATCGAAATTCAAACAAGTTTATGCATTTCAACTCACTCTTTCATTTAGGCTGATACCAATAATTGGCAAAGCCATGTAGGTACGGATGTAATTTCATTAAACTTACCAACATTTGCATTTTTTTGGTTTAGCCTTGCTCGGTCCCCATATTTTTTTCGGAATGGAAAAATGTTGTAGCAATTAGTTCAAGCACCATCCTCCTAGTTATTAGTTACATCTACTGTAGATGTACTGTTGTAGAAATCTTTCACCCATGCTGCTCAGCAATCCAACCTGGTAAAACATATGAATGAGTTAGATGATCTCTACTACATACATTGACATCCAGACAAGTTTTTTTTTTTTTTTTTAATTCAACTCATTCATTTAAGATCCGTACGAAGCTGAGAATATTGATAGTAAGTTTAATGCTTTCAATAGTACATTAAGGTATCATTTTGACATTGCATTTCCAAAAAGAATTAAAAAGCTCGATTCAAAAAACAAAAGACGAATTTCGTTTTCAGCTGAACTTTTAAAGCTAAAAGAACAATGTCTTGTATACTATGAGAAGACAAAGCACCTCAACTCTGATAACGTTCTAAGACAATACTATCTGAGATTAAAAAATGAATATAGAAAACTAATTAGAGAATTAAAGACGAAAATGGTAATTGCCGAGATTGAAGAATCAGACAGTAAAACTAAAGGTATTTGGAAAGTAATAAATGAAAACAGACCAAGAAAAAAGACGACAATGGATAGTATTTGTATTAAGGATGACAGTGGTGGTGTAACCATTACTAATCCCAATGAAGTGTGCAACAGATTTAACAGTTTTTTTGCTGAAGTTGGTAGCTATAAAAACAAAGGTGCGAGAAATCCTCCTAACTCCTGCAATTTAAACAATAGAAATATAATATCGTCATTTTTCTTGAAACCAGTGACTGAAGAAGAAATCAAAAGCATTATCAGTGAGCTAAAGAATAAAAGATCCTCAGGAGTCGATGAAATATCTCCGAAACTACTGAAAACCATTTCAGGTCTGATCTCATCACCACTCTGTCACATGATTAACTGCTCCTTCGTTGAGGGAAAATTCCCTTCCAATCTAAAACTGTCAATGGTAAGACCCGTTTTCAAGAAAGGGGACAAAACCAGCTGCAATAACTACAGGCCTATTAGTTTAATATCAACCTTTAGTAAAGTATTTGAGAAAGCAATGGTTAATAGATTATGGAGTTTCCTAGAGTCCCAAAACATCCTATATGAAAACCAGCACGGATTTGTAAAAAACAGATCGACAACCAGTGCCATGCTTGGTCTCATAAACAGAGTGGTGAGGGATATGGATTCACGTCAGAAAGTAGCAGGGATGTTCTTTGATTTTAGCAAAGCTTTTGACCTCGTGAACCATGATATACTGTTGAGAAAAATGAATGATCTGGGCATTAGAGGAGTAGCTCATGCTTGGTTTTCTTTGTACCTGAAAGACAGGCGACAGTTTGTTATGATACCAGCTGTAAATAAAAGTTGCTACTTGCAGAACCATTCCTCTTCAGAAGTCCCAGTCAGGAGAGGTGTGCCCCAGGGTTCCGTCTTGGGTCAGATTCTCTTCCTTATCTTCATAAATGATGTTCCATCCAGCTTGAATCTTGCAAACATATGCCTTTTTGCCGATGACACTTCTATCACCATTTCAAATCCCAGTATTCAGGCCTTATTTCTTGAATCCAACTGCATGCTTCAGTGGTGTGAGGATAATGAACTAATCTTAAATGCCAAAAAAACCACACTCCTTCAATTTAGCATTGCTCAGCATCGCACATCCACGGACATACATGTTCTTCTTGATGATACCACTATTTCCCCCTCCCCAGATGTAAAGTTCCTTGGTTTAATTCTAGACGAGAACCTCAAATTTCACAAGCATATCGATCACGTTTCAAACAAGATATCTGTTGGGATTTTCATGCTCCGCACTCTTAAACATACTGTTTCGTGTGAGGTCCTCTTGACAGCCTACTATGGACTAGTTTATCCTTATCTGACATATGCTGTACCTGACTGGGGGTGTGAAAGCCAAAGGACTCAGTTCATATTCAGGCTTCAAAAAAAGGCTCTCCGAACTGTTTTTTCCCTTCACCGTCGTCAATCCTGCAGAGATGTCTTCAGATCACATAAAGTTCTAACTTTCCCTTCCATTTACATTTTAGAAACATTATCATTTATCAAGAAAAACCAATCATCATATAGCTCTCCAAGTATCCATAGTTATCGTCTCCGCAACAATTTCAATCTTTCAGTACCTCGACACTCAACCACTTTCTTTCAGAAAAATTTCCACTTCAATGCAGTAAAACTTTTTAATGACCTCCCTCTCCCTTTGAAAGCCGAACAGGACATCAGAAAATTCAGGAAATTAGTTAAGTCCATGTTGATAAATAAGGTCTGCTACAGCGTGCGGGAATTTCCTGGTAGTCTTTAACCTTATTAAACATAAAAGAAAACAATTTGTATATAACATATTTAGTAGTTAATTAATTTCATAAAAATGTAATCTCTTGACTTGGCCAATGCAATGTATTGTTAATCTGGTTGAATAAAGGACTTTGACTTTGACTTTAAGGCTGATAACAATAATTGGCAAAGCCATTTAGGTTAAGATTGAATTATCCTACATTAAAACTTACCAACAGATGCACTTGTTTGGTTTAGCCTTTCTAAAATCTGCCTTGCTCGGTCCCCCAATGAAAAAAAAAACTTTGTGGCGAGCAGGTCAACCACCATCCTCCTAGTAGACATAGGCCTACTGTTGGATGTCCTTCAGCAATTCAACCTGGAATACATATGAGTGAGTTACACTAAAATGGAGCCATGGTAATTTATTACTGGCACTTGGTTGCATTTGTTTAAACCCAAAGATTATATATGTAGCAGACAACAGTTTTCCATTTAAGTTATGCGTAGGCTGTACAGAAAAGCTTATATTTATGGTAGGCTACTTTATATTTTATTTTTATTATTTCTTTTTTAAGAGGTTGGCGGCCTCTTTTATCCACAAAGACTACAGATCTGGCTGTGGAAAGTATCTAGCAAAGCAAGGGGTGAACCGGTACAGTACGACGGTGAACTGAACTGATAAATTTTAGTGGCAGTAACCAGGATCCGGACCCACGACATCGCTGCCTTGGGCCCGAAGTCCGGATTCTACCAACTGAGCCACAGACTCTATAAGACTGTTGATACTGAACAATGAAAAATTATTGTAGTTGTCACTTTGAAGTGACCTTAAGTTAAATAACGGAAATGTAAGTTAGCATAAAAGATGGACAAAATGCAAATCCGTATATTAAAAAAATCAACATGAAACTGGCAAAAGATCAGCCATGTTTCACGTCGATCTTTGACAATACCATACTAGTTACATAGACTATAACTTACTAAAATATTTGCTAACTTATAACCTACCTAGAGTCGAAGAAGTACAATTTAGGCTTCACAAGTGAGTCTTAATTTAGTCTTGCAAATAGCCATTTTAGTTATACGTAAGTTATTTAAGTCCGTCACTAACCAATAGCTAAAACTGAATTTTTGTTACTGGGTTATGGTGCCAGTTAACTTAATTCCCTAAGCATTAAATGATCATGGTAGACTAAATAGGTTATCAGTAAGATGTCCACAGTGAAGCTTAGCCTAGGCACTCTCTGATACTACCTTGTCTGGAAAAAAATTTAGAGAAACTAACTATGTAATGCTTCTATAGGCTATGTCTAACCCACGAATACAGTACTAACTTAACTTAGAACAGGAACAGGCCAATGATAGGCTTTAAACGAACAGACGCGGTGTGGATCATAAACTTAATGTCTATGTTAATGCTATAAAGTTAAGAAGATAATAGGTCAGTAGCACGAATACTTTCGTGAGGGTCATTTTGTTGTTCAATTATTCGTGGTGTAACAATTACTTGAAAAAATACATTTAAATTTGTCTGCGTTCAACTTTATGAAGGGATTAATTGACGCAATTTATGTTTGTTACTTTCAGATTTATGTTGGCTATATTCATAGAGACAATGCCTAGACCAAACTACAAAATAGGCTTAAGTTACTTAATAAGTTAATAAATACATGGGCAATTTGACATTAAGATAAGAACTGAAATCTAAGCTGAATACAATGAATTTATTACAATGAATACAATGAATTTATTTGGCCAATCAACAACAACATTGTTACAGGCTATGTCAATGTAGGTACAAGCATGATCTACAAGTAAGATGTTCTTTAAGCTGAGCAATGTTCTTGAAGCTGGTTCTTTAATCTGTAGTTTTTAGTTTTTGTTACCAAAATCAAACTTACGTATTGTTGCTGATAAAACTCGATTCGTCAAATGATATAGAGAAATAATAATTAACTTAGCATATTTTGTGAAAATAATGTACTGTACATATATCATTAATATTAAGTTGAACAACAATAGACTACTTGATTATACAACAACTGTACTTAACTTGTTGACTTACTTGTCTGCAACTCTGCAAGTGCAAAGTGTGTAAATATTAAAAGAAGTGCGTGTCGGCGTCGGCTGCTTCCAATCCAAACAAAACGTAAACAACACAGTCACGTGACACAGCACCACTTGCGACGTTGCCAGTTCGATGGCCGCGGCCTGTAGTTAAAGGCGGCCGTGGTGCAGGAGAGTGACAATTTTGCTAGTGGTGGGGGAAGTAGAGTAGAGCTACTATGCCACATGTTGCTAGTAACTCTACTCTACCACCTACTATCTACTATACTAGCTACTAGGCGCCAGTGGGTGTTTACACGGGTAGAGTTACTATACTAGAAACTCTACTCTACCCACAACTCTACCCGTGTAAACCAGGCTTAAGCTCCAAAGAATGTAGTATCATTTATTTTACATCTTCCACGAGGGAGACTTATAATCCATGACCGTGTTCAAGAATCAGCTGTATCAACCCTGAGCGTATGGCAACACTGGTATTTCTTCTTTACAATCTCCTTCTTCTTCTTATCTTTACTGCTTGGCAGCACACAAAGCATGTGTTTATACATAACCTCAATCTTTATCGTGATTAAATTTTGATCCATCGGACTAGGACTCTTTGATTTATTATTAATTAAATACATTCCAGTTTGTGGTCGTATTAAATTTTATAGGCTTTAAGTTAATATTCTTATTATGGCTATTTGATTTTGGTTTTGTAGTTGCAGTTGAAAGAATATACCTACTACATAAGTTAGGCTTACTTTCGTAAATAGTTTGTAGTCCCTGAACTAGCAAGGCCTAGGCCTATTTACTGTTGACCGCGGAGTCCGTCATGGGAAGGAAAGCTAAATTTACTGATGAACAGAAGCCCAAAAAAGGAAAAGGAAGGAAGGCAAAGAAACAAAAGGATCCAGTTTTCCCGGCTAGTTTAAGTAAGTTATGATACCTATTATAGTCCCTACATCCACTTAAGCTTTAGGAATTTTAGGCCTAGGCCTACTTAATTCCTACACCCAACCATGTTCTTTTGTAAAGTATAAAGAGTTGTCTCTTGCACTTCAGTTTAACATATTAGAAGATAGTCGAATGCATGATTATTATTTCAAGATTGTTCGGGTACAGTTAGGCCTACACAGAGAACCAGATTCAGGGTGTCCACATTCTGGAAAGTCATGAAAAAAAATTCTGGTCATTGAAAGTCATGAAAATAGGCAAAAGGTCATGGAAAGTTATTAAAATCTCCAATGATGGATGAATTGTAGGGAACTTGGGTAAGTTACATTTCCATATCTGTTGGCACAAACAACCGAATGAGTAATATTGATTATTCGATTGTTTAGTTCGAGTACCTGGGGACCGTGCTTTGCTCGGGGAAAATCATTAGTTCACTCTGAAAGCACCTTAGTATATTGGAGATACATAAATCCATTCCCAAACTCCACACGGCTCCCCTTTACTACGCCCTACAACACCATTTCCTACGTCATGGACCTGTTTCCCTCCATTCCCATTGCATTTAAAGATTGCAGATACCTTAATCTAATCGTCATAAACTGTTCCCACACTCCGGACAGCTCACCTTGACAACTTCCTTCATCACTTCCTACGCCACGGACCTGTTTTCCTCCCTTCCCATAGCATTTTAGGTTTGCTGATACCTTAATCTAATCGTCATTAACAGTTCCAACACTCCGGACAATTCGCCTAGACTACTTCCTTCACCACTTCCTACGTCGCGGACCTGTTTTCCTCCCTTTTCATAGCATTTTAGGATTGCAAATACCTTAATCTAATCATCATATCGAATAATCGATATATCGATCGATATTTTCATTCGGTTGTTTGTGCCAACAGATATGGAAGTGTACCCGGGAACTTTTCAATACTAATTTAGTCAGCCGTGACCCCGACTATTGTAGCATTTTTCAGGATTTTCCACAAATGTTTTTAGTACAAATTTATTACTGTTGTATTAAGTTAGGCCTAGTTTATGAGTTTTGAAGAATGAAAGTGGAGAGAACTTGGCCAGCTGTGGGGACGGCGGAGGCTGGGTTTACTTTTTTCCTTCCTTTTTTGAATGCATATTTGGGTACAGTTTCTTAACTGGGCTACGCTAATATTGATTGAAACTATCAATTTGATTAGTAAACCGTCATGCGATTTTTCACCATCAGCAAGTTTGGTTGGTTATGATGTTTAAATTTATATTTAGGTAAAAGAGGTTTCATCGATGATCGAGGGTTCGATGAGGTTTCATAGATTATTAATCAATATTTTCAATTTGATAGTTTCAATCATATTAGCATAGCCCAGTTAAGAAACTGTACCCGCATAAGTTATTTTAGCAAAATGTACTCCATTGTTATTTACTAGGCTAACACATATTTCTTTCAGTATATTCTGTGAAATAAATTGTCTAGGCAGTATTATTCGTGTGTGTAAGTATGTACCGTATAGGCCTACTTATTATAATTTTCGAGTAAAGTTGGCAAGTCATGGATATTTAATGGTAAATGGTCATGGATAGTCATGGAAAGTCATGGAAATAAATGATAAATTTTCTGTGGACACACTGAGAACCTGCTACCTAAGTTTATATATTGGATTAATACAAATATAAATGGTATGCCTATTGATTAGGCCTATATGATTCTGTTCGATAGGCCTATAAATAACTTAACTTATTGCATTGAATTTAATTCTATCATGATAAGTATAGCCTAGGGCAAAACAATTTAACATAGCTTAAACACTTTCATAAAGTTGTGTATTTACTTTATCCTTAGTTTTTTTTTTTGTTATTGTAAGTTACGACTAAAATAGGCCTAGCAAGAAACTAGGCTAGGCTATTCATATTCTGTTACCATACTTTACTCTTAGAGGGAACATTCATTATTATCGATGATTTAACTTACTTTCAATATATCAATATTTTTGTTTTCCTATACGGCTCATATTCCTTCTGTTTCCGTATTTTGCATTTTAATTGCGAATGAAGAATAACCCTCCAAGTGTCCATAGTTTAGGCCTTAATGTCCACCTATTTTTGGCGCATTTGCAAGGTTTTATTAAAACGGATCTGAGAAGCTTAAAGCAATGTTAATTCTAATGTTCTATATACCATTTTGTTTGGAAAATCATGGGCTTCAATATTATATATAAAACATAAGGAACATTAAAAAAAAAAAAAATTTTTAGGTAAAAAAAATATAATTTTGAAAATTAAAAAAAAAAAAATAAGTTCGCGCTCAATGAAATTGTATAAATTATAGGCCTATAAATATTTGAAAATAGCCACTTTGTTCTAAATTTTATGAAGATTACAAATCTATTCTATATATAATTCAGTTTTAAAAATCTTTGTACAACTAAATCTAGAGTTCTACTGGACCGATTTTATTAATTAATGGGTCGTTAGAAAGCTTAAGTCGTGTAGATTTGCAAATAATTATGAAAATTTGTTTTTGTTATGATTTATGGTGATAAATTAAAGAAAACGTGTTTTCCATAAGAAATACATTGAAAACGGTGTTTTTCACAATTTTTATTTGGGCGCGACTTTTAGCTGCCATTTTTTTATATTTCCAAGAAGTGCATGGTATCAATTTGTAGGAAATTTTATTTTCTTTCAGAACATCACCTTCCACTTTGGTTGATTTCCTCACCATTTAAAAGTTATTTGCAAAAAAGCTAAGAAACCTCCGAATTTATAGTAATGAGAAAATATTGAGTTTGGGATATTTTTGTTAAACTTTGTACAACTAAATCTAGACTTCTACTGGACTGATTTTGTTAACTAATGGGTCATTAGAAAGCCTAACCCATGTAGATTTGCAAATAATTATAAAATCGTGATTTTATTAAATATTTGTGGTGAAAAATTAAAAATAACAAAAATACATTAAAAACTGGGGTTTTCAAGTTTCAGTTTTCAAGATTCTATTTGTAGCCAGCTTTTGGCTGCCTTTATTAAGTATTTTCAAGAATTGCATAGTAGTTATTTGTAGTAAATTTTATTCTCTTTCAGAATATTACATTCACTTTGGTCGATTTCCCCTCCATTTAAAAGATATTGGCAATAATCTAAGTGATCTCCAAATTTATAGTGGTGAGAAAATACTGAATTAGATATATTTTTGTTAAACTTTGTACAACTAAATCTAGACTTCTACCGGACCGATTTGGTTACTTAATGGGTCGTTGGAAAGCCTAATTTGTGTAGATTTGCAAATAATTATGAAAGTTTGATTTTATTAGTTATTTAAGGTAAAAAAATAAAAAATAAAAATAATACATTTAAACTCCTTTTATTCCAGGTTTATATTTTCAATTTTATATTTGTAGCCAACTTTAGGCTGTCTTTATTGAGTATATTCGAGAAATTCATAACAGTAATTTGTAGGAAATGTTATTCTCTTTCAGAATATCACCTTCCACTTTAATCGATTTCCTCGCCGTTACAAAGTTATTTCCAAAAACATTAGGCAAACTCCAGGTTTATAGTAGTGAGAAAATACTGAATTAAAGATGTTGTTAAACTTTGTACAATTAAATCTACAGTTCTACTGAACCGATTTTATTAATTAATAGGTCATTGGATAGCCTAATTTGTGAATATTTGCAAAAAAAAAGTACTGTTGAGGTTGCAAGCAAGATCGTTTGGCTATAAATCGATGATAAATAACTCCATTTTTTGAACAATTTGTGTTGGTCGTGATTTAGCTGCGTGCTTTAATGAAATGGAAGCTGGTATTTCAATGAGGGTTCTTAGGTCAAAACAAATAGAATAACGTAATTAGAATTAAGTAAATGTATCTAAAACTAAATTCCAAATCCAAGATATAATCAAATTTATATTTTCTGATTGAGCGATACAGTATCTTGAACTTAACTGATTAAAACTATCAATATCTCAAGTGAAAGCCTTTGAAGTATTTTAAGACCAAGACATATAAAATAACTTAAATAACAATAGAGTTACGTATCATTGATTGCAGATAGGTACTAAAACTATTGTATTTATTGTTGATTCGTGATTCAGCAGTGTGCTTTAGGTAGTCCGATCTTAATAATCAATAGCTCAAATGAAAGCTGGTATTTCACTTAAGGTGTTTATACCAAAATGTATAATGTACTTAGAACTGCTTTAATACATCTTTAATTGAAGAGAAAACAAATTCTTTCGTCGATTAATAGATTAGATAAATTAATGATGATGCTTGATGACAAATATGTGCTTGCATAGCTTAATTTTAAGACCAAAATTATGAAAATCGGGCAGGTAGAAGAGCCCTCCTGTAAACCATCGCCCGCTTGCGAAACATTGTACTCGGAAAAACCCAAATTTAACTCCCATAAGAAATGTACAGGGAGGCAGTTTGTGCATAACTCGAAATATACGTCAAAATGAATGCCGATGCTTGATGGTAAATCTGCGCAACGTCCATACCTTTAGTTTAAGGCCAAAATTATGAAAATCGGTCGGGTAGATGAGCTAACCCGCCTCGGAAAAGAAAAACCTCCTTATGTTAAATGTGTGATTCTAATGTTATGTGCTTAAACTGTACCATTAATTATGAATTTCATAACCATTACTTTACTAGAGACCGTTGTATTTAACCACAACGGGCACTGTTGCTAGTATATAATAATATAAGGAAGTATATTTGCAAATAAATAAGTTATGGGTAAAAAACTGATTTCAGTACATAGCGTTTAGCTAAGAATGCATAGCCTAACCATAGCTAGGAATCTGGCTGATAATTTACATCAATATTACTACCTACTTCTTCAGGATCATCAACCAGCACTTCAAAACCACTTAAATCTTCTTATAATGCACCACGTATATCACTACTTTTGATTTTTAACACTAAAACAATGATAAACGTAATAAAACACATCAGTCATCGGTCCGGGGGAACCTAGCTGTTTACAAATACACGCACGTCAGCTGTCTGCTACAATATTTTCGGAACTAAAATGAATAGCGCTTAGAGACAGACCTCTGGAGAAAGCTTAGAATATTACGGAAAGAACGATACCTAACTCGATCCAGTTCAATCCGATTCAGTCAGTCATAGAGCCTTCGCCGTAAACGATGTCTGCGTGTCGAAAAATCGACAAGTAACACTACACAAAGTGTGCTGCTTGTCGAATTTTCGTCAAGTAACACTGGGAGGGTTAAGCATAATCTTGTTTAGGCAAAAATATTATATGGGCCTATGGATTATAAGAAATGAAACTAACTAGGCCCTAAGTTTATTTTTCACTAACCTAACATAACTAACCAATCTTGCTGAAGGTTAAGTTGCCGTTTACAAATTCCGTTTGAACTTAAAAGGCATGTGGGAAATAGGCTTTCAAACGGAAATTTGGAAATTTTACAACAAGTTTGGTTTTAAGTTAGTTTATGACAGTTTTTTAATTTCAATAATATTGATAGTAGGCCTAGGCCTATATAATTTATTATTACATCAATAAAGATTTAAACAGATCATAACTCAATTTAATGTTTAAGTTACATAATAAATTATAATGTAGAAATGATCCATCAAACTGAATCAATATCAATTTGTTTACATTTAAAAATATAATACATAAGTTTCTCTGCGGAACTGTACCTGATTGTTAAATAGGTCATCAATGAGTCAACTTAGGCTAGGACTATATGCAAAGATGCTGCATTTGCGCCCTGAAATGAATTAGTCAATAAATGCACCCAACATACCAGTTGTGTGTCTCCGCATCTGGTTTAAAAGCCCTGACTTAACTCAGTTCACTAACCAAGCTGTATGTAACAGTTCAAACAAATATTTTTGGTTAAATTTGTGTATTATAGTAAGTTTTTCCTATCCAAAAATTGAATTTTTAGGGCACTGAGTGTGTGGCAGTTAAGTTATTTCAGTAGCATTAAATTAACTCACTTTACTTCCTGGCCTACCAAAAAAATGTAATGACTTGTATGTGTTTCAGCTGAAGGTGTCTCTAAAACTTTGAGCCATCGTCAAAAGCAGAGAGCTGCAAAACGAGCTATTAAAACTACTTTGAAACAAGAGAAAAAAGCAAAGAAAAAAGAAAACCGCTTAGAAACATCTTTGAATGGCGCTAAATCATCCCTTAACTCTCCACAAGATTCTAGTTTTAAGGAGAAGCAGAGTGACAAGTTGACAAATAAAAATTCATCCAGTGCAGTTGATCTTGTATCAAAACAGAAATTAAATGGTAAACAGAATAATACAACTCCCAAATTCAAGAAAAATGAACCAGACTCCAGCTCTATTTCTGGTAACTTCATCAAGTCAGAATCAAAAACGCCCAATCGCAAAAGTATTACGGGTAACCAATTTGTTGTTACTCCATCACATCTGGAAAATGTAAAGGACTCTAAAAAAAGTTTGGCCAAGGGTTTGAAGAGAAAATTGGACAATGAAGATTCTGCTGAAACAGGTAGGTACTAGACCTAACTCAAATCCTATATATTTGGTAGTCAGCATAAATTATTATTAGGTACATTAATAACTAGCTGTTTGCCCGTTCTACTTACGGGAATCTTGTAGTAAGTTAAAACCTTATATTCAGAATAGGAGTTGGTTTGCATATTTAGTGTGCATTTTTCCAGATATGATGGCAAAACTATAATTGTTTAGGAATACATATAAACCTTCTCAAATACAATATCTGACAGTTTCAAAGCCAAAACGAATGCTTCACAATTAAATGTCACCCGATCGTATTAGTCCATATTTTTTTATATCTAACGATGAAAGGAATTGCTTTACAGTATAGGTCTATGAGGCATAGCCCTAAGGTAGGCCTGTAATTGAAAGAAAGTTACTTTTCACACTGGTTAAAAGTAGTTAAAACACTACCTCAACCTCACTACTGCACACTTTATTCGGGTTAAATTTTGTTATTAACAATGGTGCTCTTGTCTTATCCACGAAAAATAAGGACATTATTGCGTTACCAATAGACATTCACACACAGAATTGAGTCCACACAACATTTTGGAGTCCAGACAGAAAACGCTAAAAATTATACAGTAAGACATCAATTAAATTTAATAAGCAATAAGGTGCAGTGTTTATAAATAAATAGTGAAAATAGTGATGTGTTTGTGTGTAAAAATGATTCTTACTGCTACCACCGGTTCTAAGGAAAAGTAGTAGTACCTACCCAAAACCAACGTTTACATTTGAGAAAAGAACTGTAGTACTTACGACTAATTCAAACTGTCCTTCTAATCAAACTGTATTATAGGTGTTAATCTGTTGGCAAATATATAAATAAATAAATACACAGGCCACAAAACATGTAACATGTAACGTTAACAACGTAAAGCTTTGAAAACTCACTATGGTTTGCTAAAAAAACTTTCACTTGATGTGGTGCAGTACCGAAGTTATTAATCTCCTTTGGTTTTAAATTTTTTTTAAGTTTTTGAAAATCAAAGTTATTTCCCATTAATAGCATTATTTGTAAGCAGCTTTTAATGTTAACATATTAATGACAGTTTGAAGAAACCACCTTAATCCAAACAAAGGTTTCTTATTTAAAAGATTACGTAATCTCTAAACAATAATCGGTACATATATCTAGCAAACATTCGGAGGAAATGTGACAAAAAACGCACAAATCTGGGGTTTTGTACGTTTGTAGTTTTATTTCCTAGTAGGAAAAGTACCGATATCGTTGTCGAAATGTAAGTAAGTAGAAACCAAAAGTGACACATTGGAAAAGCAAGTTTAGCTACATCTGTTAAGTTAAACCTCTGTTACGGTACGATCACAGCGAAATCAGGAAGATCTTCCAAGATCGCAATAACATCCACGATCACCCACTGCAGTTGTGATTTTTTACTTTGCACTTAACACAACTGTCCTTGAAGCGCCGTCAATGAGTGGAAACCTTTGTAAGCTACGGTATTGGTGACGATGATTAAAAAAATGTAAGTTTACTTGCACTAATACACCACTGATTCATGGTATTTTCCTCGGTTATCAAAACTCAAGAACAATCGTTGCACTTGCGATTAATTAAAGCGGTTGAGTAAGGCACAACGTTTTTAATCCCACTTGGTTTGGATGTGCTGACAAAACTTGATCGGAAATGGTTGCGGTATTTGTAAACAACTTTGAATGTAAAATTCAGTGACAGCTAGAAGTGAGAACTAATCCAAACAGCTGATCGTTATTTCATAAAATGTAATAGTAAACATGGGAGAAAATTTGACAAAAATCGAACAAAATTGGGTTTTTGGTGGTTTGTTATTTTGTTTTCAAAGAAGCGAGGCCATGTTTTTATAGCCAAAGACACTCTCACCAATCCAGTAAATACAGAAAAATGATTAGAACCTTGATCGGTACTCTAGTTTTCTAGGAGTAGGCCGCGTAAAATGACATTTTGGCGTTACAGACGGAGTCACAGAATGGACAAACAGACATACAGACAGAAATTGAGATAAGACTCGTTTCCGCTTTCTTAGGCTATGAAACGTAAAAATAACCAAAAACTGCATGATTCTAAGCAATGTACAGACAAAACTGTAATTTTATTTATATATATATAAGATAGATATTAATGTAATAATCTATATCTATATCTATATCTATAGCCTACTTATTTAATACGCAAGCAGGTTTTTTGTGACAATTACCCCTCCGAAACTACTGAACCGATTGACATGTTTTTGGTGTCATTGGAAAGAACGTAATGTGAAGTTGTGCAGGAAACCTTCTTTTTAAAGAAATAATTAGAGAGTGAGGCCCTGGGGCCCTTTAAAGCTTTGTATTTCTCCATAAGGATAACATGGGAGATAATTTTTATTTACAGAAACATATGTTTGTTACTTGAAAATAGTCAAAGTCTACTGCATAATAATTGCTGTGTATTATGATTGTTAATGTATACTACATTTCAATCAAGGATTGTGTACCTTAAAGTTTACTCATAATGGATCTCACTACTTTATTTTAATGCTGGGAATAGTAAAATTTAGTTGAGAATAAGTACCATGATTTAGAAAACTTTACTGTAATAATTGATGTATTTAAAATCACAAATCTTTGACATTATTAATTCATTAGAAACTAAACAGCTGATCGAGAAATCAAACAAATCATCTACTTCGTGTGAATAATGTTTTTACACAAACATAGTTATTTTAAACCAATAACTTTATTCTTTTTTACTTGTGGGTGTATTTTGAGTTAGCAGTTTTGAAAGCACCAAGCCAAGTAACTTTTATCTAATTTTCTTTATAAACTAACGGTATTAATGAATTACTACATGAACTTGACAAGTTAGAATTAATTGTCAGTATGCCAAGGGGAAGAAGAGTGAGTCCTCGAAAATAGACGAAGGCGGAGACACCCATCTAGAAATTCCAACTGAGTTTTTAAATATAGAGGTCACAGGTCAGTGGATTGCCAAGACACAGATTACACTAATTAAAGGGGGCAGTGGTTTTATTGATATTAATACATCAAAAAGGGCCTTATTAATGGCACAAGGCTTCACGGTTAACAACAAATGTACCGGTAAAGTAAATGTAAAGTCCTAACTGGAACAAGTGAGTAGGGACATATTTTGATTTCGAGGATAAAAATTGGCCCGTCTGAAACAAACTTACCTTTTAAAATGGAAAGATGCTAATTTCTGTTACAGTATCTTTGGCATTTGCAGCACAAGCACTTTAATTAAAGAGCAGCTCTGTTCTTAGCCAGACCTATTTCAGTCATGAGCAACTATATATAAATATCCTGTATATGTTGTTTTAAGTAAGGCTACATCTTTTAATAGGATACGCATATTCATTACGGAAAATTCTGACCAGGGTAATATTCCTGAAGGTAACATTAAGAAGGAAGTGGTAAAGGTGAGCGTTGTGGAGTGTAAAAACCCTTTGTGACAGTTAAGTTAATGAATCTATAATACGAAAATGCTATGGGAAGGGAAGGAAACAGGTCCACGACGAAGGAAGTGGTGAAGGAAGTAGTCAAGGTGAGCAATCCGGAGTGTGAGAACCCTTTGTGATAGTTAGATTAATGTATCTGCAATTCTAAATGCTATGGAAGGGAGGGAAACAGGTCCACGACGAAGGAAGTGGTGAAGGAAGTAGTCAAGGCAAGCAATCCGGAGTGTGGGAACCCTTTGTGACAGTTAGATTAATGTATCTGCAATTTTAAAAAAGCTATGGGAAGGGAGGGAAACAGGTCCACGACGAAGGAAGTGGTGAAGGAAGTAGTCAAGGCGAACAACCCGGAGTGTGAGAACCCTTTGTGACAGTTAGATTAATGTATCTGCGGTACTAAAATGCCATGGGAAGGGAGGGAAACAGGTCTACTACGAAGGAAGTGGTGAAGGAAGTAGTCAAGGCGAGCAGTGCGGAGTGTGGGAACCGTTGGTGGCAGTTAGATTAATACATCTGCAACAAATGACATTGGTTAATTAATGGACGAGAAGTTAAGATTGTTGACTGAGATTTGGTTGATTTGCCCATACAAATTACATTGTGTTCACCAGTGACACCGGTAAGTAGGCTATGTGCGGGTGGACTTTTCCATTGTTGCGCTCACGTTCACTATCCTGTTACGCGCAGAATAAGCGTACTACTAGTATTTAAGTTGTTCGAGAAGGTTGGGGGTGGGGCGGCAGCGAAGTGGGGGAAGAGCCATAGTCTGTCTCACTCCCACAGCTCGGTATCCCTCTCGCACCAATACTACGAGGAGGATGCTTTCTAACCCGCTGACCTATAGCAGCAGGTGTGGTAAAATACAACGGTCTCTAGAAAAATAACAGTTATGAAATCCATGTACCACTTTACTCACTAATATTAATGGTAAAGATCAAGCACATAACTTTAGAAACACATACAAAACATAAAAGGAACAAACTTTAACCACAAATGCAAATTGTGAACAACAACATTAAGGATTATCATATACTAATTTCAGTCAAAACCGGTTTCTTTAAAAAATACGATTTTCTCTTATTTTATGGGGCTTTTTATGGGAAAATAACATAATATACAAAAACCTTTGGAACCGTAAATTTTACAGAAATGGGAGTTCTAGCATTTTGTTCAGAATTTAAAGGGCTGCTACTAACTAAATTTTTATCAAAATCGTTCAGGCCATTTTTGAGAAAATTCTATTTTTCCGTTATTTTATGGTTTTTTATGGGGAAATCAGCATTAAAGATCAAAATTTCAAAAAAATGAAAAAAAAAACGCCTGGAGATATCATGGATTAGTTCCTACATAGGTACCAAATTTCATCAAAATCGGACCACAGGTAGGCCTATCTATAGTCTGTATACATCCACACACAGACACACACACACAGACACATCACTTCGAAAACCACTTTTTTGGGGGTCTAGAGGTACGCAAAACTGATATATCCACTCAAAACTCAAACTCAATAATGTTTACGAAAACAATACTTTCTCCATAGGTATACTATGGTAAAGGGGATAAAGTAAAAACTAACATGTTTAGAATAAATTAAGGGTACTTTGTTAATTATGTTATTAATTTTTATTTATGTTTTAAGTTAATATTTAGGCCTAAGTGAAAATTCAATCAGGCAAACGGAAATTCTCTTTGTCTATAGGTTTGCTATAGTGAGGATATTAAATCAAATGAAATCAAAAGTTCATTAAATTTATTTCATGCACATTTGTACATAAATAGTGTCAATCAATTACAGTAAAAATACAGCAGTATTAAAACTTCAACTATTTAACACTTAATTAGTCCTTAAACTTTTAGTTCTGTTGTGAACAAAGGTGGAAAAACTCATCTAAAGAATAACACAGTTTGTTAAACATGAATTCTTTGAGTTTGTTCTTAAATTGTACAATATTTTCAGATTTTATCTTTTTGGTAAATACCATACATAAAGAATTTTTTCCCCAAATATGTTGGTTTTCCAATACCTATATTTAAAAGCCCTCAGGCATCTAACTTACACTCTTCTTGTCATATCATTATTTTAAATTTGGTAATTCATTTTACTTTTAAAATTGTGTTTTTTTGTCCCTTACAGAAAAAAAATCTACTGTTGAAAGTAAAACCTCTCATCAAAACAAAAAACCGTTTGAATCAAATAAGAAAACAAATTCTAAAGTAAATAATTTTCAAAAGAAGGGTTCTAAAGAAATAATTCATGAAAAGAAACTGGATTCAAATATCAAAAATAAATTAAATGGTACAAATAACAAATCTGAAGTGAAAAACGTTCAGGTAGGCCTTACTAACGGCTCCCTGAAAGGAAAAAATAAAAAAATAAAGGCTGGATTTACTGATGATAACAGTAGTTGGTTGAAACCAAAAAAGAAGAAGGTTGACAAAAGTTTAGAAGACAACGAGGAAGAGATTGAAGATAATGAATTAGAGAGTGACGAAGCTAGTGATGCTAGTATGAGTGAAGAAGATGAAATAGATGATTATGGTGAAGGGGAATCAAGTGATGATTCTGAAGAAGATGACAGTGAAGAGGAAGAACAAGTCCAAAGTAAAAACAAAAAGGAGATCCAAAAAAAAGCAAAAGTAAGTTTTACACTGTTAATTATACATACAGGGTGTTTGTGAACTGAATAATTTACATTATAAACATGGGTTGCCGGAGCCTCGTTTTCCGTCTGTCTGTCTGTATGTGTTTTTTATAAATAACCTTATAACTCGAGTTTGAATCCAGGTACAAACTTTAAATTTGACACACTTGGGTATTTTAACGTGGTGCACAAACATGCAAAATTTCATTTCGTTGACTATAACCGTTTCAAAATGGCGGCCATCTAAAATCTTTGACCTCAAATTACATGAAAACCACTAGAGTTACAAAAAAAACAAAACACAAGAATAACAAAATGTAGGAAATTTTATGCCAAATCAAATGACACATAGATCCTAAAGATCGGACAACAAACAGCTGAGCTATTAATTTTTTAAATAATTAATAATTTCTTTACTGTCTTTTAATTGTTATTGTTTATTCTTTAAAATCATCTGATCCTTTCTAAATTGTTACAACAATGTAAGACAGCTGGTTGGACGGATGATTTTGAGATGATGATCAGATGATTTTTTTGAGTTATCAGTTTTTTTTAATAATTAATAATTTCTTTACTGGCTTTTAATTGTTATTGTTTATTCTTTAAAATCATCTGATCCTTTCTAAATTGTTACAACAATGTAAGACAGCTGGTTTGCCCTAACAACAACATTTAGTTTTTTTACTAGATGGTAAATGTAGTGTCCTATTTTTACCTTAACTATTGAGATCTGTTTAAGGTTACGTAATGTATTCTGTATCAGATGATTTTGATACATTTTGATCCGCTGTTTGTTGTCCGATCTTTAAGATCTATGCGTCATTTGATTTGACATAAAATTTCCTACATTTTGTTATTCTTGTGTTTTTTTTGTAATTCTAGTGGTTTTCATGTAATTTGAGGTCAAAGATTTTAGATGGCCGCCATTTTGAAACAACTATAGTCAACAAAATGAAATTTTGCATGTTTATGTACCACGTTAAAATACACAAGTGTGTCAAATTTAAAGTTTGTACCTCGATTCAAACTCGAGTTATAAAGTTATTTATAAAAAACACATACAGACAGACAGACGGAAAACGAGGCTCCGGCGACCCATGTTTATAATGTAAAACATTCATGTATTAACCCAAGGAATAATCCTGTGAATTTTTTCGAGAGAGTTCACAAACACCCTGTATAAGTTATCAGAATTTCGAAAATCCTTATTGTTTAATACACCCAAAAAGATTAATGTAATATCTTTGATGAACTCTTCTTGAAATTATATTAAGGCAGTAGCATACCAAAAGTTGGTTTTGAGGGGACGTTATGTTGTTTTTACTAAAGCCGGGTTACACAATGCCAATAGTTGAGACAATTGTCAGAAGACAACTGACTGGCATGAAAGTAGGCCTATTGGCTTTGTGTAAACACTTCAGGCCAATTGCCTTGCCAACTGCCCTCACATTTGCTCCGACAATCCTATGGTAAACCAGGCTTATTTAATCTTGGCCTATTTTGTGGTTAATATTTTAAAGCTAACTTTCATTACTAATTATTAATCAACGATTGTTAGAGCAACAACTTTTAACTTTTGTTGGAATTTGTTGTTACTTAAATATTTCTTTCATGTCAATATAGTCACAATTTTTTCATTTAACCTGAAAAATAGGCTACAAAAAAATGTATTTATTTATTTATTTATCTTTAGCCAAACAAGGAACAAGTGGATAAAGATGACGAAACCACAGAATCTGAAGATTCAGAAGATGGGGATGAAGAAAGCGATGAAGATGATGATGAAGATGATGAAGAAGATTCAGAAGATGAAGATCTGCTACCTGTCGAAAAAGCTGCTAAAAAGCTAAAGAAAAAGAAAGCAAAGGAGGAGTTAGTATATGTTTTGATGTTTTGGTTAAGACAAGCCAAACCTATGATTAAAGCAAATGCAATCAAAAAGGCATAACCGTAAATATTCTCTCCTTATAAATAGGGGGGTGTTAACAACTTCATTTTATTAAACTCTACCTAAATAATTTTACTGTAATACATTTTTGCAATCTAATACCCTCATAATGGTGTCCCCGTCTAAAATGAATGATTATGAATACTGAAATAAAATTATATTTAAGTAACATCCATCCAGTAATTCAGGAACCTATCTTTAATATACTGTACTAATTGTATTGACTGCGTAGAGACGATTAGACACATACTAGGTAATCAGGAATCAGGTTGACCTTTTGTCTAGGTCAAAGATGAATATCTAAAAATTCTACTGTATTGGTTGTAACAATACTAATGCTCTTACATTGCTACCAAAATAAAACATTATTTTACTTTGTGAGACAGTCAAATTATGTTGGGTGTTTTTGTTTTAACAACAGTACAAAACATGAAATATACATAATAAATTATATATATTATTTGTAAAATAATAATTATGTGTATCAATTAAATATATATGCATTTTCTAGAAAGCAGGCAGAAGAGGAGCTACAACTGAACGTTGCTAACCGTGAAGTGTTTGCGTTTCCCAAGGAGGGAGAGAGAGAGAAAACATCGTTGCCTGAGGTTGAACAGCGAATCAAGGATGTCCTGCTAGTTCTCTCCAACTTCAACAAGTTCAGAGAGAAAGACAGGTATGGTAGCTATACAAATTTATTTTCATTGTTAACGTTATTGTTTGTGTAATTTTGCCTTCAAAAAGCACACTTTTATGGATAAAAATATTATAGGCTAATGTGTTTGTTAGAAAAATGTTTGTGAATTTATGTTTTTCATCTGTTATTTAAAAAAAAAAAACTTGTGATTATTAGAATTTTTAATGCGACCCTAATTTGTTTAATTTTTCTTTGCAATAGTTGCTAAAATTTATTGATTTACGTAAATTATTTTAGCCTTAAATGTAAAACATCTGTTTTTTCTAACAGCATCTTGTAATTATTTGAGATTTTTAACTAAGTTACAACATTGACTATATATACCTATAGACAACCCATAGCCATAGTGGACCTGTCGCCAGTGTTTTGTTGGCTAGGAGCGCCAGAACAGCGCTAGCATGTGGTGCGATCTATCAGTAAAGATTAGAAGCAGTCTCGACGCATGCGCAGACAAGTAGAGGGGCAGTCGACGGTTCAGCGCTCAGCTCCTCCAGCTGACGATAGCTGTGAGGGGGGGGGGGGGGCGGGAGAGTGGAGAGAGGATACAATGCGTCGCTGTAACTGCAACAACAATATCCAGAAAGGTCAATGAGCTGAGCACAACAAAACCAGCTCTCGATCAGCTGTTAGTACTCACACTACTCGATGTCGTCTCACCGCAGCCACACTGCGGCCTGTCCTATCCCTGCTGGTCGCGGAATTTTTTTTAAAATTCGTATTCGAGGCTTACAATTGATTGAAGTTTGAGTATTTTTTTTCTTTAACAAACATGTTACCAGGGACTAATTACTCCGTATTTTATTAAAGAAGTAAGAAACCATGACGATTTATCTGACGTTTTCACCCTAACCAACTACGTTAAATTTGTCATTGCTCGATATTTTACAAGCATTTTCAGCAAAATGTAATTAATAAGCAATAACGAGGATTAAAACTTGAAGTACCTATTAAATAAAATGGGCCTACTTTGACTACGCAAAGTCTTATGAACATTTGATGTTTTCGATGATTTTTAAACTCAACAAACATATATTTAAAAAAATAAAAATTATCTGCATAACACTGATGAAATCGCAGAAGTGTGTTCCACAAACCATCCACCAATACGATTATAATACTATTTAAAGATTCTTCCAAAAGCATTCTTTAGGCCTATGTTATATTCATCAAAAAGAAGATAAACCACTTAATATTGGAACAAAAACTCCTATGACGGACGGTATAAGAAATATGTTATTCATTGAATGATCAACCATATTTTGTAACTAATGCAATAGTTATTATTGTTTCTACACTTATTACTCATGAAACAATAGTAATATTTCTAAAAAATTGTTTAATTTAACTCTATTTATCGCAGTTAGATGAATTGGCGTAAGCCTTGAAAGTAGAAGAAGAGCCCTCAAAAGACAAACCTGAGACTACCAGGAGGTAAAATTGGAAATTTTTTCCAAAAAATTAATATACTGGAGGCAATGAATATACAAGCACATATTTGTCATCAAGCATCATCATTAATTTATCTAATTATCGACGAAAAATATAAATTTGATTTTTTACTTCAATTAAAGATGTATTCCAGCAGTTCTAATTACATTACCCTATATGTTTTGGTCTAAAAACCTTTAGTGAAATACCAGCTTTCATTTTAGCTACTGATTATTAAGATCTGACTACTTAAAGCACACTGCTGAATCACGAATCAACAATAGTTATAATCATTTTAGTACTTATCTGCAATCAATGATACGTAACTCTTTTTATTTAAGTCATTTTATATGTCTTGGTCTTAAAATACTTCTAGAAATAAAGGCTTTCATTTGAGATATTGATAGTTTTAATCAGTTAAGCTCAAGATACTGTATCGCTCAATCAGAAAACATAATTTGATTATATCTTGGATATGGAATTTAGTTTTATGACCAATGAGAATTTAGTAGATTTTTCATCATTTTGAATTAGCTGAAAACAATTCTTGTTATTTAAGGAGTATGTTTTATCTATTTTTAAACCTAGTTTATCCAAAATAAAACTATATAATCATCAACAATAGGTCGTCTCCTGTTTATATTAAACAAGAAATTAAAACACACATCATAGAACTAATCCTAAAATACTAGAAGCAAAATTACGTCAAAACTAACGTCCAGTATCACCAACATGAGCTAGACATGAAACAATTTTGAATTAACAATGTCATAAGAAGTCGACTTGAGTTATATTTAATCTATAGTCGTACTGCATCTAGGTTATATTTCCAAAGCAAAACAGAGCAATAATCCGGCAAACCATACCGATCCTTAGGTCTGAGGAGAAAATGACAGCATTAATGGTGCTTTGGAGGGTATTGAATTTTTCTAAAATCCAATGCAAACTGAGATTAATATTTTTTTGTTAATTTTAAAGGTAAATTTATCGTTGTTTTAATCAACACAACTTATTATATATTTTAACTTGATCCTACAGATTGGTGTAATGTAAACTAATCAAAAGAATAGTTAATAACTTTTATTTGGTGAGGTGAGGGTGGTAACAATGTCTAACATGCATGCGCCCCTAATCACTCTGATCAGTATTGCCGAGCCCGAGCCAGCATAGTGGAAGTGCATTGGCAATATGATGCGAACCCCTTGGGCACTCGTCAACGTCAACATCCCTACAGCCTACTCCCGTATAATCAATGTTCGTTACCAATTTTGTAACGAAATTGATGCGTAATTCTTAAAAAAAAGATTAAATTTCCTAACAATTATTTCTTTTTATGAACTTCAGAATCACAATGCTTTGGAGTTTTTTTTTATCAACTATGACTATTTATTTTTATTTTTAGATAGCCTAGATATAAAAAATTACTCTGGGACCTTGCGCCCATAGGCCCGGGCCTACCGAGCCTATTGGGAAATCCGGCCCTGGTAGCAGTGTCAGTCACGTGCACGTGGTCGGTTGGGAAGCGAAACAAAGAGAGAAGAAATGTGCGAGTGAGAGTGATGCAGAGTAGGCCGCGGGGTGAGGGGGGAATGTGCAAGAGAGAGTGCAGATAGCCTACTATCGCGCGCCTACCGGCAGCTCACATCAACTACTTGCTCCCGAGACCTGGCTCACACTACTACCGGCCCATAAGCCTGGGATGTCTTCTGTAGGTATATATAGTCAATGGTTACTTACAATTTACTATTATTTGCTACCTACCCGTACTTATTATTTATAATTGAATTTGTTACAATTATTGAAACATTTGCAGGGCTCATTTTAATCTAGTATCACAATATGCGATCAATTTAACTGGAAACAAAATTAAACTAGCTTCACATGGCTTAGTATTAAAGTTAAAGAATTTAAATATCATAACTGACTATAAAGTTAACTATGATAACTGTGTATTTCTTTGACTTCTGTCTTGCTGTTGGCATCGACATTAATTCAATATCACAACTGTAAAAAGTTTTTTACTCGCTCATTCGAGTAAGGCCTGCAAAAGTTTCTGTGTTATTTAGTAGTTTCAGCCCTGGTATACCTGGCAAGCAATTTAATGTTATTTCACTCTGTACTAGATCTCGCCAGGACTACCTAGAGTTGCTGCGGGAAGACCTTTGTCAGTATTTCAGCTACAACGAGTATCTCATGGAGATGTTCATGAAGTTGTTTCCTCTCACGGAGTTGATGGACTTCCTAGAGGCTAGTGAGAGTCAGCGACCACTTACAATACGGACCAACAGCCTCAAGACTCGGAGAAGAGATCTGGCTCAGGTACTGAACTATTCTTGCTTCAGAATTATTGATTCGTTGACCGTTGTTAAAAGTAAACTATGTTATATTGGATGATAAACAGGTTTTAGCATATTCTACATAAAATAAGAAGTAGGTGAAGGTAGTGCAAATACAGATAGTACATAATACAGACATTTCATGCTTTCAGAGTTTTCTGTAGCAAAACAATGTGAGTTTGTGTTCAAATAAGGACTTGTGTTAGAAGGGTACGTGGCTGGATGTTTTGTTGTTTGGATGTCATGCCTCATAGTGCTAAGGAAAGTCAAAATACAAGGGAAGCTGCTCACACTAGCCGACTGGGAAGCCCTGGAATTTATTCTATAAGTCTGAGAGTTATACGAAAATTGTGTGGAAGACATTGAATGTCAGGTTAATGTATTGTTTGTCGGTTGTAGGCTCTGATTGCCAGGGGAGTCAACCTGGACCCGGTTGGCAAGTGGTCCAAGGTTGGACTGGTCATATACAATGCTACTGTTCCCATAGGAGCAACCCCAGAGTATCTGGCAGGGCATTACATACTACAGGTAAGAGATGTGGAAAACACCTGCTTTAAGCAAAAATGAATGTGATGTATTATATGTCAGTTCAAAAACAATCAACTAAATAGTATATTACGTTACTAGTCTTGAAAATAGGTGAAGACACTCCAATCATCATCAAACCCAATAGGCGATGATTGGAGTGACAAATCAAAATCGATCACCGCTTACCATCTTTTTTGTATATTTAATGTCTTGTGAGTAACAGTATAAGTGTAAATATATGTTTTAAGTGTTATAAGACGTTTCTTTTATTTACTTTCCGTAAATTTAAAAACTTGTACAATACTGATCAAGAAGTTATTTAAATCCTTATATATTCCCACTGGCTAAAGACCTAACAATCACTACTCTTAACCTCTAAGAGAGGTCATGTTTTTCTTTATAACCACTCATTGCCAAATATAATCAGCTGGTTGGTGTCCGGTAATAGTATGTTTCATAACAAAAGTAGAAAGTGAGTTATTACATATTTGAGACCATGTTTGAAGTGCAAGATTTATCGAGCACTTTAAATGGTCGAGACTGTTTTGATCGTTACTTTTTGCTACACTACAAAGAATAATATTTCCTTCATCACCAAACTCATAGAATCGTTTAGGCTATGCATTCAATTTAAAGTTATGTTTACTTCAGTCGTTGAAAATTGATATAGTTGATAAAACAATGACAAATATTTGTTTGTTTACATCGGCAAAATCCAAAAAAAGATAGTAAACATTACTTTCGCATAGTAAGCATTCTTTTGCCTTAGTAAACAATGTATGATAGATTTTTGCAGGTGATAAACATGCAACTAAAACATGTCATTTCATAGTAGTGGAGCGAAAAAGGCTCATTACAGTACTGTAGTACGTAATGAAACGCTGGCGGCAAACAGCTGTTTTCTGGACTAAATCCTTGCGTGGGAAGTTCATTAAAACATTGTAGTGTGGCATAAACATTTTTACAAACTTGCAATTGGTTATCTGATCAAATGTGGACAAGATAGAAACTACAGTAAACCTTCACTAGTTCGACACAGGCTGAGGCTACCCATCTAAACATGATCGATATCTTGTTTTGACACGTACGCCGGTCAATGACCGGTACCAGTTCTTTCCAGTTATCAGAGTGAAAAACATTAAAAAATCACAAAACATTTTGTCAAGTGATATTAATGGTTACTATTGTGATGTAGGTTGATTTGAACATTAATTGGTTTATTGTTGACTTGAGACTAATGAACAGTTAAATTGTTAAGCTTTTTAGTATTTAATAAATTTGGGTGATTTCTATATAAAACTTGTATTTTTACTTTCCTGTATATTAAAGTCCATTTACTCCCTATTGTTCGACATTTCGATAGTTCGACACCCCTTACGTCCACAAAGTGTCGAAATATCGAGGTTCTACTGTACTATCATAGTGAAGAAAGACTTTGATCTGACCAGACTATAAGTTAATGCAAACCTTGCCCCTTCTAATCTATCCTCTGGCTTTGATTGAGCTGGCTGTGTTAACATTGCTGTAATTTCTCTCAAACCATTCAAACAATATTTCGTTTTTTTTTTTTTATATGGTAAACATTTTAAAATATTTACAGCATCAGTTTTTTTATGTTATTTTAATTCCTGACTTTTTTAAACCTACTACTGTAAATATCTTAAATATGTTTCTTAAATTAGTTCACTGTCACTTTTGATTTCTGAACTTTATCTATATCAAAATATGAGATCTATGTCATCTTCTGCTCCATTACGTTCTGTTGGCCAAGACTGACCAACTACTTGTGCCACAACGGACTACAGTAGACTCTCTCTTATCCGGACACCTTTTAACCGGACTAAACTCGGCGGAAATGACATCTCTATAACCGGACTATTTTTATCAGCACATCGGTAAAACTGGACTAGATTGGCAGGATGGTACTGAAACGACTGTTCTCGTGGAAAAGATTTGAGACCAGTGATCACGTGTCTAAATACAATGCTCTCCTAAATTTAAGTCAAATATGTATTCAATATGCATTTAAATGGTCCGTTTTAACAAGTTTTTGGGAACGTCGGTTTAACCGGAAAAAACATTATCCGGACAGGCCTCGGTCCCGAGGAGTCGACATTTCATTGAAAAGTATTAAGTCCGGATAAGAGGGAGTCTACTGTATTCCCATCGCCTAGCCCACTTTCCAATTAATTTTAATTTGTTATGATGGTTGCAGACCCTGGTTCCAGATTAACGTATGTGATTAAAAGAGGTTTTACTGTGTTTCATTTAATGTAATATCTAGCTGATTTATGTTTGACTGTGGATGTAGGGAGCGTCTAGTATGCTGCCTGTCATGGCCCTGGCACCACAAGAGAATGAGAAGATACTGGATATGTGTGCTGCTCCTGGCGGGAAAGCCTCTCACATAGGTAATCTACTTAATAATTATTATAAATCTGTATCACCTCTATGTTGTTAAGTAATCTTAAAGTTTATCTTTTTCTTTTGTACATGTAGTTAAAAGTATAAGTTGTTGTGTTATTCTGTTGTTTTCATCATTAATATTAGCTTTTTGATCAAACCCATTCAGCCTTTTAAGTTTTTCATGATGATCTGTAACAAAAAATATTTTTCGGTCCTAAGACTTAGTGTTACATAGCACACAAAGGGTACTTTAAATATATTTGTATACATGTTATCAGGGTTGGATAAAAAAGATCTCATGGTTCACAAAGGACCTGGGATTTGACAAAGAATGAGGACCTGTGAATGAGGGTGCACAATAAGCTGTTCCAGCTGCGCTGCAATCCCATGGTTACTTGTAAGCCTAGCCCTAAATTTAAAAAAGGGTTAAGTTCTCTTCTCTTTCACTATTATTTATAAGATTTTTTCACAAAAATGTCAATAAAGACACCCATTTCACTTCTCATTTCTAAAGTCATATAGTTTTTCTCAGTTGGTGGCACTGTTTTGAGTGTTCATAAATCCTGGTTAATGAACACCAAAGTAGCAGCCCAGGATCGCTAATTCATACTATCCTACTTTTGGTTACAGCGTAGTTGTGTAGAATTTCAGAAGCTATGTTGAAGTGGTGGGATTAAATATATTTTACAGTTTTTATAATTGGACACCCTGTTTTATAGCTGCTGTCATGAAGAACACAGGTATGTTGTTTGCAAACGATGTGAACAAAGATCGAGGGAAGGCAGTTGTCGGAAACTTTCACCGTCTTGGGATCATCAACACTGTCATCTGCAGTTATGATGCACGGAAATTCTCAACTGTAAGTTTTTAGTTTGTTATTTAGATAATGAAATGTTCAAAATGTTTTTAAGCATTTAAGTTGAACTTATCTTTTATAAATTATATTTGGAACTATTCCCTTAATGTGGGCTCCGAACCAAGAGGTTACTGCAAGCACTTAGCAAAACATAAGAGATTATCAGGGGTCTAAACCTGGGCCTCTAGGCAGATGTTCTGCATTCTAACAATCGCCCATAACCCTATCTGAAGGGAACATGATACAACTCTAGGAATGTTTAAAGCCCATTGCATTTTATGCACAATTCATTTCCGAGGTCACATTGTGGCTATTCCCTGTGTTGCTAACAGTAACATTATAAATTAGATATAGTATAACGTTACAAGATATAGTATATCGTTACAAGATATAGTATACTGTAATGATGTGTCAAAACCGAATCTCAAATCTCAAAAACATCAAAACTTTGAGTTTTGGTTTTGAGATTCAATCACCAAGTTTCGAGATTCAAAAGTTTCGAAATTTAAGATTTTGGCAGTTTTATTCTTGACACTGCTGACATATTTTGTGTCATTATTATTGTGTCTAGCACTGTTTCCACTTTTCACACAAGGTGTTAGCAATAGATCAAACTGATCACCATTAACAGTAATGAAAACAGTAAATTGTATTCTCATTCTGAACTTCAAAAGGCATCTTAAATACTATAACTGGAATAACATACAACTCAGTTTCATAGCGATATTTAATAAACTCAAATAAATATTGACCACTAAATGTTATAATTAATCTAATATTCATGTTTATGTTGGTGTCAGGAGCTTAAGTTTATTTTAATGTTATAAAAAAATTATGTTGTTTTGGGGGTTTCAGTCACATATTTATGTTATCATGTCAGTGTCAGGAGTCGACCTCTTTCAATTTGATTAAATACTTAACATTTTATCATTACCTGTTTTTTTTGTAACCTTAACCCTTGTAACCAGCTAACTAAAAAGCTTTTTTGTCTTGGTTTTGAGATTCAAAATTTCTGGTTTTGACCATAACTAGTATACTGTTACAACCAATAATATTTGCTTGAATGTTTTATTCTTAAGAATGTACCCAAACCAAACGTATTTTCATTTCTTTGGTGATAATTGACAATTCTACGAATAGAAACAAAAACAAATATCCAATTTCAATCGCCTCAACTCTTCCTAGGTAATGAAAGGGTTTGACCGGGTGCTGCTGGATGCACCCTGCTCCGGGACGGGAGTGATATCCAAGGACCCGGGAGTGAAGACGTCCAAAGATCCGCAGGATGTGCAGAGGTGTTTCACACTACAGCGGCAGTTACTGCTAGAGGCTATAGACTGCACCAACGCAAGGTCCTCCACAGGAGGATACATTGTGTACTCCACGTGCTCTGTGCTGGTAAGCTTGACAATACAACTACAGTAGCGCTTTGCTAAAATAAGACCCTTGTAAATGGATTTGTCTAAACAAACTGTTTTAAGACACACAATCATAAACATTTAAACCCTCATTTATATTGTAAACATTTATTCTTTGGTCATAACCTATCTCGTAAAATGCCACTGGCGGGTGTTGAAAAAAAGAGAAATATAGGTAAACATTTTGTGGGGTTTGTTTTTAATCGTAATAGTTATTTGTGTAACTAGTGAGCAAAGTGGCACTTTGCTGCACACGAGAGCAATGCGGCTCGTGCGGAATGATCTCGAGTGCAGCAAAGGCCTTTTGCACTCGTGTTACACATTATATTTTTCCTACAGTCACTATAAAGCATATAAATAATTAGTCTTTCAAATACTATACAACACGTTTTTAGGTTCAGCTGGCAACACAAATAGGTGCCCTAGAGAAAGTGGTGCCCGGTCCGTATCACTCCGCTATTTTTCCTTGGCAAGAAATGTGCTCCGCGTTTTGAGAATATAGTTCCGTATGTTTTTGTAATTTGAAGTGGTTTCCGCGCCTAAAAAAATTTTTAAAGGTATTTTCTTGTTTATTAAGATCGTAGGAATGTTTTAAAAACGTTTAAAAGAAAAGTCCAGAAAGTTCAGAAATACCGAAACTATTAACACAAAATGACAGGTTAAATCGTAGTTATAATAGTCAATCAGCTGCTCATAGTATTATATCTTTAAGTGTTGCCAACCTATTTCTAAGCGTACACAGATTACAAGCATAATAGAATCACGCTGTTTTGTGTTGTTTCGTTGGAATCCTGATGTGCGGCAAAGTATAAACCGTACGGCAAAATATAAATATGCAGCAATTAGAAGCTTTCTGTAGGCTACTATAAACAGTACAAGGAAGCCACTTTGTCGGGTGACTGTAGGAAAATAAATGTATCTTGAACTTTTTAGTTTTGATCAGTTTCTGGTGACTTTCTGTAACTTATTGTTTAGCACTTAGGGAGGCAACTTAATCCCTAATTATTTTATTCCATTACAAATTGTGAACTTTTTTCATGCATCTAAAATATTTTTACCCGTACCGGTACCTATTTATTAATTCAATTATATTTGTTTAGCCAGAAGAAAATGAAGCTGTAGTAGATTATGCGCTGAAAAAACGAGATGTGAAAGTTGTTGAAACTGGACTGGGCTTTGGCAATGAAGGGTTTACCAACTACAGGCATTGCAGGTTTGTTATTTTTATTCAGTATGTTCTTAGTATTTTCATTGTTTTTTATGTTTTGATAAAATGGAAAATGTTATGGGTGAGAGAAGAAGAGATGTATTTTAATCACAAGTTTTTGTTGAACATACATAGAAACTTACTATGGTAGATTGGATTTTGAAAGAGAGGGAATATATTCTTTTTAAAATTTAAATGCTTTTCGGAAATTTTTTTGGTCTGGACAAAATGTTAATAAAATAAGAACATGAGCAGAGTTACTTTATTTGTATATTTGAGAAAAGATTTTGTAAATTTTGTGAGGAATGAACATTACGTTTGTATATTTAAATCACTATATTTATTAAATTATGATAAGGTGTAAACAAGCTTATTCTTAAGGTTCCCTAATTATTGGTGTCTTGTTTAATTTCAGATTTCATCCATCTCTAAAACTGGCCCGTCGCTACTACCCTCACACGCACAACATGGATGGCTTCTTTGTTTGTAAATTGAAAAAGTTTTCAAATATTATAAAGAAAACAGAAAATGAAGATACTGAAGATGAGGAGGAGGAAAAGGAGGACGAACATGTAGAAAATGAGGAGGAAGAGGAGGAAAACAAGGAAGTTGAGGTAAAACAAAAAGAAAAGAAGAAAGGTAAGGAAAAAATATTAGAGATTAAGAAAGGCATAGAAAAACAAGAAGAAATTACAAGAAGTAAGAAAAAGCAGGAAGTAACAAAGAAAGATAATGTAAAGCAGGAAGTAACAAAGAAAGATAAAGTAAAGCAGGAAGTAACTAAGAAAGAGAAAGTAAAGCAGGAAGTAACAAAGAAAGATAAAGTAAAGCAGGAAGTAACTAAGAAAGAGAAAGTAAAGCAGGAAGTAACAAAGAAAGATAAAGTAAAAGAGGAAGTAATTAAGAAAGAAAAAGTAAAGCAGGAAGAAACTATGAAGTGTAAGGTAAATCAGGAAGAGAAGACAAAAGGTAAGGCTAAACAAGAAGCAAACAAGAAAATCAAAGTAAAACAGGAAGAAAGTGAAGATGAAGAAGAAAGTGACGATGACTATGAAATGGAAGAAAGTGATGGTGAAGAAGTTACGGATGATAGTGAGAATGAGGAAGAAAGTGATGATGAAGAAGGAACAGAAGAAGAAACAGAAGAAGACGACAGTGATTAAGCAAAGTAATTTATGGCTGAAGTAAATAAGTCAAAGAGAAGTCAACTTTTAAATTAACAAAAGGTACTGTTAAAATTATATGTGAAAACAAATCAATTTTGTTGGTGACTATGTCACCAAAACAATTAAGTTTTAATTTTTTTTAAAGATTTGAACGACACAAGCATGGCCTGAAACTACACAATAATCAATTCAACCTATGAACATAGAGGTTTAATATACCTAACCTCTTTTTCAAGGAATTTAAGTAGGCCTACTGATCTGTCTTGCATTTTTATCTGTTGATGTATTATTGTTTTTATTTTATATTTTTTTATAAACCCAATCCTTATTAGGAGTAAGTGGATGGCAGTGGTAGATACTGGTAAACGGGATGATAGTTTTATCACTTACAGCTGTGTAACAATCCTCCCACATTATGGCATTGTGTGTACTAATGCACAATGAAGTTTGGCTGACACAATGGTTACCTTGATGTGTGAAGGGAGTCAGTATAGGTGGAATTATAATTGCTATCCCATTATTTACCAAGATAAAAGCTAATGTAATGGTTCGTGCAGGTCCGTATTCGACCGCGGCTTTTAAGTAAGGACCGGTTTTGTGTATAATTGGTGGTTCGCTTGTACGTCGCAATGAGGTTCCTGACCACTTCCTGGCATCATTTGTAAACAGAATGACGCAAATTTCAGCTTTGTAGCTGTCATGTATGCGTTGCTGTGTTTTTTTAATTGGTTAAACCATCGAATATCCTGCTGCGTATGAGGTAAGGTAAGGTCAGTGATACGTTTTTTGCTGACATTTATCACCAGATGACTGAAGGCTATGGCCCTAATATAGTGAGTTAGGGTTAAGTGCATAATAATTGGGTTATGGAGTGTAAAAATGGCCGTGAGATCCTTTTTCCTTTGTGGTCTTCTGTGAGAAGTCTGGATACCCAGCAAAAACACAATTCCAACCGAAATGAACATTTTCACAGCCATTTTAAAGCTCCCTAACCTATTTCTGCACTTTTTACGCTAAGAATGGTAAATAGGGCACTTTCTTATAATTCTCTTCATACCATTATACTCTCAAAGTCATAGCACAAATCACCAAGCATCAAGCATAAAAATAAGTCTTTTTGAAAGCAAGCTACTAAACTGTAAGCTGGTAAGATCAGGGGGTCAATGTTTTCTCCCTAGGTTAGGTACCTTGTCAGCAAGTATCATCCCGACTACCAGTGTCAATCCAGGCTTCACTATACCTACCCTGAGCTGTGTTCTTGTTGTATACATTTTGCAATGTATAGCCTACTAATTTGAAAATGTACAGAATCCTTGCTTGTTGTTTTGTTTAGTAGCCCTTTTCACTATAAACTTATTGATGCATTTATTTATAAATGATTTCAGTACATTATCACATATAAAACAATACAAATCACAATGTTGCAGTTTACATGAATTCAGTTTATTCTTGATCAGTTAAACAACCTATGTATTTGTATGCACTAAAGTTTGTAATACAGCTAATTTGCAAATATTTACCATCAATTGATTATTCCTCTTGCTATTTTGATTCAACATGACTTCCACCTTTGTAAAATATTTTGTACAAAGAACATAAAAGATTTTGTTATAATTTTGACTTTTTCTATCAAATTACCTCTACCGAATCCCAAGTCCAAGAATGGGGTAGCTTTATTTTCATCGCCATTTATTAGGATTGACTAAACAAAAGTTATTAATCACTCTAAAACATCATGTCACTGATTTTATCTATATGTACTATGTATTGACACGAATAAAAGTTAGGCTGATGTTGAAAAAATATCTTCAGTACAATCTTTTAAATGTAATATTAATTTCATGCATAGTAACATAGGTGTACATATTTAATTAATATAGAATTATAGCTGTTTTAAAAATTCATAATCAACCTTTAGATCAATTTGAGCAAACTCTTTGAAGAAACTATATTTTACTATTGTAGTGGTGCAATTGAAAAAATAACAGAAAACTGTTTAAACTGAAACTCCAAAGTGAAAGCTCACTTTTGACTCCCTACTGCAGTCCCCATATTTTATGGTAAAATGTTACACTCCATAAAAAAAGTACATTTAATTCAACATGAGTACAGAAGTTCTCTGAAATAGCGACACCATAATTTCCATCATCTTCTTTCCTCATTGGGACAACAAGGTTTTGATTCGAGAGTGCCTCGGTTTTTTCCTTTTCAAAATGTTGTATTTTATTTTATAGCTCAGAAGGAAGGGAATTGTGTGTTTCATAACTCTGAATAACAGAATAAATATGTCAGTACTTCACCTATTCTGGTCAAACTTTTAACAGTTCAATTTGATAGTATTCAAAAGATTTTGGTTATCAAATTGTGTTAAAAATCAAATTAAAAGTTAAAGATAAAAAGTCAGAGATATAGGCTTATTCCCTTATCTGTAAGAAAGAACCATATGGTTTTTGTAACTGTTCATCAACATTTTTGCAGTCCAGAATAATTTGAAAGGCCCTCCAATCGATGATTGAGGCTTGAATCGAGAAACGATTACCCCCCCAAGTGTACATACATACATGAAGAATGCTGAGTTTCGGGGAAATTAAATCAATAGCGCTTTTAGCAGCAGTTAGCTTGTTTGCACTACAATTAAGCTAAGTGCTCAGGTCTAAGTATCACAATTGAAGGCACTCTTTCATTTGCTTTTTGAATTTTCTTTTTACTGTTGCCTATTACATCAACTCTTTCTTAAGTATCTCTAATCATTGCTCGTATTTTGTTGGAATTTTCACACAATATGATTATTTTTTATAATCTCGTACAAAGAATTCATTTGCAGTTTTTTTATTTAAATTATTCGTACCAAAATATTGTTTTATGTTGGTAGTACCGGGGGACCATGGCTCCGGTATAGTTTTTTTCAATTGTAAAAGCAATATAAAAGAAACTCAACGTTTTTACAACTAATTTTGGCTTTTATTAAATAAGTTCCGGCGGAATTTCAATTTATTATGAATACCTGTCCAAATTATGTAAAATATAAAAAAAGAGTGGATACAAATTGTAAAATGTATAAGAGTGAAACATTGAGTTGATGCCAGTGCATTAAAACGTTACCAACATGAAACACTCATCACTTATCAACACTGACTTGCTATATTTCCCCATTTTCTCCCATATCGAGTAATCTCCAATGTAATCTTTGCCCAATGGTTACTTCGACTGATGATTATCAGTTTGTAGTTTGTTTGTACTGTTCTGTATTTTATAATTTGCTGGTATACTATGGGTGGCTTGTTATAAGCACATGTTTCAAGTCTTTAGTTTTATTTACTTTTAGCGAATTTCCCTAAAGGGAAGTAACTATTACCATTGGTGGCACGGTAATATTTAGCCCCGGGACTGATTTACTTTTTCATTTTGATGTCCCCAGAGGCCAAAAACACTATTATAGTTCGGTCGCTTAGAAAACGACCTGCGCGCTAATGCTAAACCAATGCTGGAGGAGGTCGCTTTCTAAGCGGCCGAACTAGTCCAAATTTTTATATATGTATATACAGGGTGATTGATATAAGTGTGCCAGCTGTTTTATTCGTAACTATTTATAAGAAATATCAAAAAAAGTTAAATGGTAAGTGCCTTGGATTTTTTATTTTTTAAATTGTAGTCAAGTCGAAAAATAATATTTTAACCGCCATTTTTCCAATATGGCCGTCAACTTTGATTTTTCTTATGGAACACCCTGTATTTTATGATGTATTCAGGCCCACTTTAATAAACGGGCAGAGCCAGAGGTTTGGGGGCGCCCACCGGGTCCCCCCCAACCACCGCCCGCCTGCACAAGGGAAAAAAAGGGGCGCAGCTTTTGGGTTTGCCCAGGGCTCCACTTACCCTTAACGCGGCCTTGGATGTATTCCTGTAGAAAATGTAATTTTAAGACAATTTTACTCTTGTGTGTTTTTTTTTTTCATAAACCTAGCCGTTTCAAAGATAATAATGGTTAAAGTTGTGAAATTTTGAATAGTTTTCGAATAAAACAGCTGGCATGCTTGCTTAGGCCTTTGTCGAAACTCTTTCTCATGCTGAAATTTGAAATTTCGCCGAAATTTGACTATACACCGAGTAGAGGTGTATAGTCAATGGTAATAACTATTATACATATTAATATTATAATACAGTATACAAAAATGTTAAACGATAATTCAAGAGGGTAACCCATGAGGCTAATACTTAGTACAAAATAATTACTAGAATAGGGGCTATTGCCCCTACAAGCCACTAGTTATTATATGAGTCTGTGAACGCGAATTTCCTGAGGTAGTGGCTGTCACCAATTACGTTTTTATGGCTATAAGTCCCGTCCCTAATTTCAAAATTTAGTCAATATCCTTCCGCTGGATGACGATATATATATATATTACAGTACAGACAAATAGACATAGCTCGTATTGGAATATATGTTCCAAAATCTAGTCAAAATCCTTCCGCTGGATGTTGGTATATGTATATAGACAAACAGGCATAGCTCGTATTAGAATATAGGATAGGATAGATTTTCATGTTGCTAGTACTTTCGCCAAAAGACAATCTTAAAGGCATTATATAGCATTGAACGACGGACAAAAAACCGCCCAAACATGTGGAATGATGACGGTTTTATTACATCGTAACAAATCTCGCCAAAGAAAGTCGATCTCCGAGCTTAATCTTTTGTTTACGTGTGTTGTTATCATAAATCATTGTAGGGAAAGTCGGGAAATTTGTTTGGCAGGAGCGCTGAATTGGCCAGCCTGCGAGTCGTCCAGTTCCTTTAGATTCAGATGGTGCGCGAATTTTCCTGTGTACGGATGTATCCCTAACCTACGATGTTGGATTATGTGTTGTTTACTTGACTGGAATCGGATTTACATAAAAAGGTTGGTGGATATTAGAACACTTCGTTGTTATTCAAAATGACCTGACAATTATTAAAATATTTATTTTAGTGGGCATATTTGTTTGAAAATATATGTAAAAACTGTCTAACTGTAAGAATTTACATTTATTACAAAATAATTCATTGCTTAAATTTATATTGGTTTCTTGTATACAGTGTTTGTAATTTTTTATCTGTTTAATATGTTTGTATGTGCCGGAAACGTGTAAAACATTAAAATATTAAGTATTAGCTATGACTATTATCAAATAGTCAATGGTATTGGATTACGGATAAAACTAAAAATAAAAAAAATTATATATAACTAACTATTCAAGCTTTTGTTAAAAAAATTCGTGATTTTTAAAAATAATTAACAGGATACCTAACAAGGAAAATATGAAAACACTCCAAAACCATCTGGAATCGACAGTATTTTCTAAAGACCAAAAACTTACTCATTCGCCTTATGAAATAAATAGTGAAATATCAACCATATCACACTACAGTAGTTAATTTATAAAACATGGTATTCACGAACGTGTTCTTTTTTGGGTACCTATCAATGATTATTAACAGTTTTGTGCTGTTTAATTGTCGTTTAATGAAGCTGCATGCTCACCTATTTATTTGTTGACGAATAACACTGTATGTTTAATGTTTTTGTTAAAATTACCGGTACCTCCACCGTCGTCATCATTGTTAGATATACTCGTAGGTCCACCTCACTGTAATCTTTCATTTTTAAGTCCCCCAAAACCAAAGAACATCGTTCGTTTTAGTAGTTGCATTTGTATTACAGATTTGAATTTCGAAAACTGCATATTATTAGGACAACTATAACGAAAACGACATAACAATTTTCGAATCTCTTTGAATACGCTTACATTGGTGTCTTTAAGTAAAGGCCTCGGACAAGAACTGTGTATTTGGTAACAAGTTTAATTTTAAGATCTCGTTGAGATTCTCTTATCGAGTTTGAAAAATTTTAGCTTAATGGCAGGATAACTTAACTATCCTCAGTAAATATACGATTCATATTTTAAAATTGACGACCGACACTACCTTGACAAATTCTTGTTTCTTTGTTTGTTTAGTAAACAATGTTTACTGCGTGCGATGTTGTTTATAGGTACAGTACTAACCCTGCTGGGTTTAATTGGGAACTTATAATTAACTACAATTTATATAAATCCACTTAACATTACATACTCAAGTAAAATCAAAATCTAGTTATTTATAAAAACTAGTACACTTGTTTTTATGAGTGTTTCGAGGGTGTATACAATGTTGGTCTCAAATAAACTCCCACAACTTGCAAACAGTTTTCATCACATAACCCCTACCAATCGAAGTGTACCTTAGTCGTTTGATGGAGCTTGAAAATTAAACAATTTGTTACCTCAATCAAAGTACTAATCATACCATACTACACTATTTTCATGAAAGACTTTTACAGTGTATAATGTACTGTGCCACGTAAATATACCTTCCCTTAATGATACAAAAGGTTAGTAAAAATTGAATGCAGCTTGCTTTTAGCAGGGATGCTTTGTATTCCACCCTACAACAGCCTCCCGGATCAGGGTGTATCGGAGGGGGGGGGGTCACCTCATCTCCCACCACCCTCCACCTCACCCCTAGGCCCGGGTAAACAGAATCAGTGATCATACTGGAGATGGCCCCTACCTATTGAATTTAGAGCAGTAAAAACACGCAGTTATATAAAACCCGATTGGTCAATGTATTTTGTTTATGTAACTTATACCGATAGTTTATACTAGTAACTAAAGTATAATTTACAACAAACTGATAAACAGAATCATCAAAAACACGTGGTAAGATTTTTGAAAGGAAATTTAGTTTTCGATTATTGGTTACGATGGTAATACGGATAACACGGAACCTTTTTCCCAATCAGTATTGAAGCAAATGGTGTGACATGTTTTGGAGAAGCGCGGTAAAATGTAGACATATTATATATATGTATACTCTTTGCATCCTCTTGGACGCATAGATAATTAAACTATTAATAAGTGGCCTTTGTATTTCACCTTGCTGCTCAATTCTGCCATTGACTATATACCACAACGTTGTGGTATATAGTCAATGATTCTGCTAAGCCTAGTTCTAAAATAGAGATAAGTGTCAGAGTACGGTTGTTGTACGGCCCGTTTCCAACCGTTGTCGGTTCTAAGAAAGATTCTCCGCTTTCGACCTTTAATAGAAATAAGTCTACCGAAAAAATATTTTTTGTTGCAAGAAGGGTGAGCCAAAATAGAAACTGTTAGAACTCGTTTAAAAGGTTTCATCTCAGCAGCTTTTTCTTTACAATACATTTTGAACTGCTAAAACTATGCTTGAATTAGGAATATAAATATTGATATAACTATATGCAGTTTTAATGGACTACTCGATTCCCGTACGTAGGACGGGCCAACAGCTCGTTTATACTAATTTAAAAATATATAGTTACCTATGTAAATATGTGTGTCCGTAAGCACGACAAATTGAGCAAAAATGGTCCAATTTTGATGAATTTTGGTACAAACGTGTAAACCTACATTTATTCGAACGAGATCGCGAACTAGGATTATCAGACTATGGGAACGGGGGATTATGGGGTAAAAATTGGGTTTTCCCATTTTTGACCCTAAAAAAATAAAATTTTGGCAATTTCCTTCCAAACCATTTTGTAGAGCTAAAAAAACAAATAATTTAGTACATTAAAGCGTTGATTTGCGTAAATTTCATCAAAATCGGACAAAAATTACTGAAGTCTAGGCTTTACCGTGCCACATTCGGTAATAGCATTGACTATTGGATACTGAAGTCAAAGGTAATAGTTACTTCCCTATAGAAAAATTCGCTAAAAGCACAGTTTGAATTGATGGTTATGATAGAACGTATATTAATTTTAATTTATTGATCAATCATATTAATTAAAAGTTCGATTAGGCTTTGCTTACACGCCAGGAGTTTTAATGGAAATGCCACAACTGTCCTATAAAGACTAGTCTTAAAAGCCGTCTAGAATCGTGATCAATAACTGCTCTCTGTCTCGGTCTTCATCGAGGGATTTACCCTTTATGAGTTTCAAAATTAATTTAAATTATTTATTGTATTTTAGGGCTAATAGTTTCATACGTTGATAAAAAATATCTCTTGTGGTATACCCATGGTAAATCAAATCATTGACTATATAACACTACTACTACTACTACTACTAGTGTTATATAGTCAATGATCAACTCCACCTACTTTAATATCCGCATAAGTTTAATAAATTATAAAGCCTTTACATTTGGCCCATAGTTAATAGCACACATGTTTCTTTATTCTAAGTTCTAAGTTCTAAGTTTGCATTCCTGGATCTAAAACTGTGACGTTGTCGTAGGTTGTAGCGAGGTGTTTCTCCAGCATCCTATTCTTAAGTAGTTGTCATCTTAATAAAAAATCATTAGTTTTAATAAAATAAACACCGGCAATATAAAAAATAAAACTGTAGGCTATCTGCTAAATGTTACTTAGAAAATACACGCAACATAATAGGTACCTTAACAACATCGAGGGTAAAACATTAGATTAGATGGGAAAAACATCAACCAAGTAATAAATAGAATATGTTTACTCGCTAGAAATTGAGAAAGTGTAATAAAGTATACAAATATGTACTAAGAACTTACAACTTGGACAAAATCATGTAATCAAATAACTTTTTTTTTATGAGGCATAATCCTTGTTCAGTTATAGTGTTTGCGTTCCTCATCTTCTCTATGAAACTTAAATATATGGTTACTTTTCTTCATATGAACATCAAAAATAATGTTATCTCTGATCAGAAAGTTTGTACGGTTCATGTTTCTTTTAGGGAGTAAAATAGTATATTTCACTACAGTACTAGTCAAAAAGCTCGATATTATTGTTTCCCATGCTCGTCTTCGACTGGCATGTAAATCACTCTCTCGCCCCGAAATGGGACTTTCGTGACGAGTACTTAACGCTGCTTTTCATCACAATGAAAAAAAAACTACTTCATCGAACTTAAAAAAAATTAAAACTTCAGTTGTAGCTTTGTTGGTGTCAGGCAAAGTATTGCTTGTGTAGCGAAAGTAATGTTTATGTCAAGAAAAGTCAGCTGATCACTATTTGTTTTTGGTGTATGGAAATTCACGGTTTTCGAATATTTCAGCTGTATGGAAATGGAAAGAGTAGGATTGAGGGGCAACCCTCTTTCCGAAGGGTCTGCTTCGGCAGCCGGCGAGCCTGATGACCTTAAGTCATCCGCCCATGATGTGATAAAGGTTGATGCGTAAGCTTCGGCCTACATCATGGGGCCCGGGTATGTCCTGAAGGATAGGTACCGGGTAAGCAGTCAGGGGGCTTCGGCTCTCATGACAACAAAATATAATATATAAATATAATATCTATAATATATATAATATATATAATATATATAATATATATGTATGGAAATGGGCTATTGTCGAATACAGAGTGATGAAACATTTTGCAGTTTTCAAACCATTTAAGATCCGAAAGGGGCTGTCTTACATCATAGTCGCGTAACTTACCTGTTTCAATCAGTAGGTAACAAAATTATAATATATATTATACATTTTACAGTTTTGTCCATCCTTTGGTTATGATTCGTTTTACAAAACTTTGTTAAAAGTTTTCAATTGCTATGAATACTAACAACTAAAGACAGCGGGGCAATGTATAAGACTTTCAAATAGAAATTACATCGTGAGTTAAGAATAATAATCTACAATCAGGTAATCCGAGAAAAATAATTGTTCAAAAGCAAGCACTTTAACTTCAACGAACCTTCAATGGGAGTTTTGAAAAATCCTCTCTTATTCCTATCATTACCATGAAAGGAGCGTACACCCAAACTTAGTATTATTCTAGGTAAATATTGAAACAAAGTACAATAGATTCGTTTTTATCAAGGTATCAACAAAGCTAAATGTGTTGAGCTTCTGATGACCTTATAAA